ATGTGAAAAAGGTACTTTTATCAATCTTTTAATGATATTGGATACTTAACTACGACTTAGGTCATTTTTCATTATGTTCATAAAAATGAATTTCAAATTACCATCTACCATTTGATTACATCCAGAGCAGGTGAACAGAGTGGGTGTGGCTTATGTGAAACTTAAGATTAATACAGTTTAATTTTCCTTAGCAGTGAAGTATTTGGGTTAATTGTGTTCAAATTAAATAAAACAGAATTTATATTAATAAGCTGCTTTTCAACTGAAATCATGGTAAATTGCAAGATAGCATTTTGTTGTTGTTGTTTTTGTTTAGGAATCACTTAGAAGAACGCAGGCCAGAATTTGAATATCTAAGGCAAATTTTACGGAATAAATTAAATTTCATTGATCATACATACTCCCAAAATATCTTTTCCCCCAAGGAATGAGGATGTCAGAAAAGTAATTAAATTCCACTTTCTCTTATAATTAAATTTCATTTGCATTTTCAATATTCAGCATCCCAGCATGAAGGAGTGTTATTTTCTGAGTTTCAATTTAACTGAATAACTGAACACTTTAAAAGCAGATTTGGTAAAAGAAAACCAATCTAATTTAAATATCACTGATAGTACTTACGCAGGATGATTTACAATCACTCCTAAAAGTTTTTGACTGAAATATTCACATTATTAAGGAATTTCTTGATCTGCAACAGTTGGAAAACCCATCTGGCTATGGTCCCTTTCAACACCTCTGACCTCTAAGGAGAAGGCATGGCTTTTCGTCACACAGCTCCTCTGGGAGGCAGCTAGCCGAAAATCCCAAAGTCTATCAAAGAAATCAACCTTCAAAACATGGCATGGAGAAGCATCACCTGCCTTTACTCAGGAAATTGGAAATGTTCTCAGGGCCTTTAGCAAATGCCAAAGCCAAGTTTCTTTTTCCATCTACGTCTGGGTCTATCTCTACCATCTCAAACACAGGAGAGTTACTGATAGGAGATCAGCACAATGGAAACCATCTCCACCGAACCAGTATTTTCTATCAACAGATTAATATTGATTTCCACCAAGGAAATGAAGCCTTAGCCTTCAGTTTTCTGTCTTCAAATGCATTTACCAAACAAGAAAACATTCTCAATGATTTTTCTCACTATTGTTAACCTGCCGTCAGAATTACATGCTGCGTGAACAAAAATCAATTCAGGTATGGTAATAAAGCACCATTAGTGAAGATCAAATTTGCATTATTCTTGACAAATGCAGTATGTTAGGCAACCACACAGATTACCTAACATCTGTGACAAATAATAAAGACTGAAAAAAAATATGCTTTCCTTCTGACAATGACGAGAAATGAAGATTTAGGCATAACTTATGTTGATTATAGTTTAAACCTGGCTAGCTTCATGCATCTAGTTCAATGCTTCCCCAAATAAATTTCCGATAATAATTGGAGTGTTGTCTAGAGCAACCAAAAAGAGAGGATATAAACGTAAGGCTTAAAACTAATGTATTTTTTTTATTGATTAGGAATAATTTAATTTTGAAATTCTCACTTAAGTGGATAACTAATTTCATGAGCAAATTTTAAAAATGGACTGACAATCTCAGCAAATTCATGTTTGATTACAAGGGGAAGTCACAAGAGGAATAAATGAGTGGAAATAATGGTCACAAAGTATTTTCTTGCTAAGAAGAGATGAACGAAAAGCACTGAGTGCAACTTTAAAGAACACAGATGCTGTAACCTTTAATTAAAGTAGACCTAGCAAGTGCAAAAACGTGCTGCCTTTTTTTGCACACATATTACTGAGAATTTTTAGAATAAGAAGGATCTTGACTTAATGTAGACTATGAAAGTCCAGACAACTCTTGATTTATCAGATCTTCTTTCACTTTGGAAAGGCAGTTTATTTGCAAATGACATATCAGTCTGCAGAGGCTTTAAATGGCAATCAGAGTTTGGATGGAAGAAAAGGACAATGAAACCCTCCTGTGGCTTACATCAATATGTTAGAACTTTTATAAATGATCAGGATGGGAAGGTGGGGTGCTACACTGATGTGGAAGCACCAAGAATACCTCTGAAGTAGAATGTAAACGATTCACTTCTGGAATTGTTCATGCAAGTACTTCACTTTCATAAAGCAATCACTTCAAACTTTAGACTTTATTCACAATGACAATGTTCATACTTTTTATTATTTAGAAAATAATTTATATTTCTCCATCATTTAAACAAAGAACAGGCCTGAGTCTCATGCCTTCTGCACAGCTTTTACCATCAGAGGAAGTTCTCTGGGGAAGACAGAAAGGGGACCCTGGGAAATGCCAACTATGCAGCCTGCATACATCTCACAACAGATTTCCGGACAATGAATTCCTTCCCCTCAACCTTCCTGGGGCTGTGACTGGCAGGATTTGCTCTGGAATTACACTATGCTAGAACACACAGAACTTGGCATTCTGGTTGGTGGATGCTTTCTTAAACACACTATGAGGAAACAACTTCACTCATCAGATGAAGGAAGTACAGAGCTACTGCCTTCATGTTTTGTTGAGAGGAAAAACCAGGTCTTAAATAAATGGCACAGAAAATAATTTTATAGTTCAGAAAAAAGCAGACAGTGTTTTCACCAAAAGTGTTCTACAGCTGATCTTAAGTCACAGAAAAGACATTCTATTAGTATCCTGAAAATGACACTGACAACACTCATAAGAACATAGCTGGCCTTTTACCTCACAGAGAGCAACCATGGCTTCCAAGTAATCGGTTCCAACTTTCCCTTCATTCACTTTATGCTTTTCTATACAAGTGTCCTTTTTCCCAAGTGGGCTAGAGACTCCTTCATTTAAAAGACCTGAGTTTATCTAATGGCACCTATATGTAGGCTCATATAAAAATGCAGTAAATTGCAACAAATACATTGGCACCACAGGAAAATAAGCTTTGGGGTTGGAAGTGAACACGGTAATACTGCTATCACCAACGAGGGAAACATCACTAGAATCAAATACCCACTTCCGTAGGCATCCCTTCAGATCCAGGTCAGACCTCCATCTCTCTTCAACTGTCAACTGACATCTAGCGATAATATAAGCAATCATCCGATGAACAGACACTACTATGTGATGAAGAGATTCCAATGGCCTTGGAATAACTAATAATTCTACTATTTTATGTACCTTAAAGCATAACAACATGAAACCAAGCAAATCAGGCAGTTTTCTGAGACTTGCACTGTGGCAGCTCAGCCTTGCCCCTATTTTGGCCACCCAGCTTTAAACAAAACACCCAGTCTGTGGTTATCAATTCACAATGGTCCTGCCATTCTACCCCCACCACACCTTAGCATTGCCCTCAATTTCTATTTAGAGCCACAAAGCATTTGGGGAAGGGAGCAAGACTGATTTTGTGAAGTATTTAGATATAAGAGGTATAAATACTTTTTTTTCCCTACTCACAAGAGAAGAACAGTTGAATTCACTGGGAAAATGCATTTGACTTACAGTCATTTTTTACAGAGATCTACAGATGGTACAAAGAAAACAGAAATAACACAATAAATCCTAAATAATGAAGACCTGGAGTTAACTCAGAAATACGCTGAAAAATACCTTAGTTATTTAGGAAGAAACTGCATTTAGTTAATCTATTTTAATTTTTCTTCTTATAAAATATGCCTTGAGTCCATTCTTTCCTATTTCATCATCTTCATTGGAAACTTACATAAAAATTACGCTTCCAACTGGAAGAATACAATATCCATTTATGAGACACAATAGTACTTTTCACCTCAACTTTGCCTGCTAGGACTGCAGAGAAAGTACAAGTACAAATGCGTATCAGGTCTACATGTTTGGATGATGTATATTTATAATAATGAGCAGGGTTAGAACCAAAAGGAAGAAAAACATTGAAAAGCTATGAACACCAACTACAAAAAAAAAAAAAAACCTTGGGCATTGGGTAAAAAGTCCTTTACTGGTAGACATGGACTCAAATTTCATTCACTTAGCAGAACATGTTAGTGGATACAAAAACAAACAAAAAACACTTCTTGCAGCATCCTCATTTCATGGGGAGAAAACCTACCAAATTATCCATTAAATTAGAATAGGTAGCTAGCAGCTGTCCACAGCCTTCCATGCAAATGAATCACTGCTCTCTTACTCAGCTTGGGGACAGCTACAATGTATAAAAATCGTGATTAAAATATAACTTTATAAAAATGTCCCCCCCCATTTAAAAAAAAGAATTGCTATCTACAGAAAAGAATCTTTATATTTACATCAAGATAACTATTCATGACATATATAATAATATGAAATAAAATATTGAAAGTGAATATCAACTTTTTAAATAGAGGTTTGGCTCACAGCATAAACAAGTGTAGATGACCAATCAACCAAAAGAAAAAAAAAACTTTCATCAACAGCCCCATCCCTACACAATCCCCTCCTAACCTTCCCTGTCAGAAAAAAATGAACCAGTCTAGAGAGAAAGGCCACTCCATCACACGGCATGGAGAATACTGCAAAGTTATCACCAGGACCTCCACACACACCCACAAAGCCATTTTCCGTCAAGCATCCAGGACTGGGCTTTCCTTCCAACAACATCAAAACGCTTGGTTGAGACTTTCATCCCTAGCTACAAAATCCATACTCCCTTGGCCTGTTTTTGCTACTGCGTATTTTGCTGTAAATTAAGCTGATGCCAAGAGTTCACTGTGAGGTGTCATTTCCCAGGCCTTCTCTAGCATCCTTTGCAAAATCTTAACTGGATTCAAAGACCCAACTCCAGGTCCCCTCCACTTATCTATGCATAAGGAATGCCCATTCCCTTCACAGGGGTGCTGACCTGATATCCATTGGAAAGAGCCTCAAGTTGCCCAAGTATGAAGCCGGTGTCAGAGCGCCTCCAAGTGGTAGACAGCAGTAGTACCAAACACAAGGCCCATGGGTACCTGCCATCTGCAGGTGGCACCTGTTTTGGAGCTCAAGGAGTCCATTTGGAATGGTTGTCTCTCAAAGACCTTCCAGAGGGAACATCTTCCACTTGTTCACATGGTACTAAGTCAACTGCTATAGTTTTCTCTCCGAACTACTCAAATCTTGAGACTCTCTCCTGCCCATGCATATGTACAGTGTTGGCACGATGTACCTCAATTCAAATAACGCTCTGGAACTTTCAGCCCTCAGTGCTAAGAGCAAGAGCTGCTTAGCTGGTAGGTTATGTTGGTTGCACTGCTTCCTTGCTAGGCCTCCCACACTTCCTTTGCGACAGGTTTTCTTCTATGATTTAATATATCACAGTGACCACTATATAAATATTAATGTTACTGTGTTGTGGAGCCAGCAATCCTGGCTTTCAGTGTAGTGTGTGCATGTGTCCGTGTGCACATATGTGTATTTTTCTTATGTGTGTCTACGTGGGAGCTTGTGTACACACACACACACACACACACACACACACACACACAGATGTATATATTTCCTTCTTTAAAAATATCCTTAGAAGCTGGTGTTGCAATGTGAAAGCTTCCTTGAGCAAGAGTTTTAAACAATGTACCTCACCATAAAAACAACACAGAAAACACACAGAGTCCTCAAATGCAAGAGCCATTTGACCATCATCTCATATTTCTACAGTGTTGTGTCTAAGTGTTATGCTGGCTTGAAAAGAGTCTGTGGCAAGTCAATGTGTTTGGGAACACAACTCATCTGTCCATTGTCACTGGTTGGGCTGTGGGGCTGGGATCTCCTCGGCTCTTGGCTTCCCCTTTTCTTCCTCTTCTTCCTCAATAGCCTGGATCTTTTCCGAGGATGGCTGTGGAAGGGTCTGCTCCACAGACTGATTTTCTATGCCCGCCAATCGCTGTTCATCTTCAATGACTTTCTTCCACATCTTGTGGTTCTGCAGTAGGTGCTGAGTTATTTGGCAGTAGATTTTCCTCCTTTTGAAAGCTTTCTTTCCTTAAAAAAGAAACCCACGATGTTAGACTACTGATCTGCTTACTGATATGAATTCAGTGTCAAACGGATCCACATCATCTAGGACCTGACTTGTGTTCTGAAATAGCATGCAGTTTTCAAAAGCAAGGGAGGAGGATGAAGGTGAAAACAACTCATTATATCATTGAGATAGAACTGTGGATAGCATTTAATATTCGGCAAGGTCTTCAGATGCACTACTTGTATCTTGGTGTTACTTCTACCACATCCAGGCTCTCAAGACTTTTCACATGCACCACTGGAATATATCATCTTATGTCTTTTTGCTAACCAGCTCAACTCACTGACAACTTTAAAGATGGTTTGGATAATGCTTTTTATTTTCTGCCTTTTGGGAATAAAAAAACCCTGCATTTCATATTCCCTTTCCTTTTAGGCTACAGAGTGACAGATGACTGTTGGCTGAAGGACAGATGTGAGTCGCAGTGATGGGAAACATGCCACTGCTCAAGGTGACTGTTCCGTTTTATAGTCATCCACATTCATGGCAGCACATTCACAGGAAAGAGGGTAACAAAAGCTTAATTTTTTCTCTTTTTCTTTTTAGCGCAGCCTCCATCAGAGCAGCTGTTCTCTCACCGATGCCTTTAAACTTTAGCAACAAACCTCTCTGGGATTATACTGAATAAGGTGACGTAGAAGAAAGTTTGTACCAAATAAATTTGCGTAGATTAGAGTCTGCAGGTGGCCTAAAGCATGCCTGCATCAGCAGCCAAATTATTCAGCACTGGAACCTTTTGAAATAAGAACAAAGAGCCTTTCATTGCTCCAATTCTAAATGCAGCTTAGTACTTCATTAGAAACCTCTTAGCTCGCTGTAGGAATCTTTCAGAATTAATTATGACGTGGAGTAAAAGCCTTCTTCTCCCAGGATACCATACTGAAACATTTTATTCTGTGTTTCCTGGGAGACCTCCAAGTTGTACAAACTGCAGAAGTTATCTGTGTATACTGAATGCAGTTTTTTTTTTCCTGGAATGTAAGTATTGGGTTAAATCAAGACATTCATAGCCACTGATACAAAGTCTCAAATTTAAATCACTAGGAGCCAGAAATAATGAACTTAAAAATAGGAAACCAGGGCTTGCTCACTGATTCTATAACCTTGGGATGTTAAATGTCTGAGACTTTTATCTTGCATACGATGAGGCAGCTGAAGCAGATGAACTTCAATTCCCTTTCCATGTCTAAGCTTCCATTACTCCACTGGGACAATGTTGAATAATGCATTGTCCGGCATTTATCATTCTCTCGGCTATAAAGGACTAAGTCAAAGATAGTATTTCCAAAGCTATGGTATCAAAACACTGTGGATGAGATTTTAAAATTTTAACGTAAGATGTTCACGTCACTTTTACAAGCCATTAATAAACAGGAATTCTAATTTGTGCTTTAGTGAACTTGATAAAAATAATCAACAAACCATGGGAATATCAGAGGAGGCATTGAGAATGCAAATGATAGCATCTGCTGCAGCAGCATAGGTTGGCAACATAAGCCTACTAAATCTCCTTGCTTTGGTCCTTCCATTCCTGATGCTTGAATTGTACGTCTCTGTTTTCAGTGTACTTGAATTCAAACAGCAATCAGGGGTCCACGGAGGCAAAAGTTACACAGAGCTTGAGCTGAAAACAACACCTTTTAACACCAGGCAGCAGTAGAATGGTCCTGCCTTTAGCGATAATGCTAACTCCACTGCTGTTTGAAACGGAGACAGAGCAAAAAAAGACAAAGCACATATGCTAATTAAACAAACCAACGAGTAACTAATGCACAGATGGCATATCTTGGTTGCTAGCTCTGACTGCAAAGATCAGTGCAACATTTCTAATGGAAGACCTTTAAAACAGGCAGAGAACTCGGGTATAACCACTCTGACAACAGGACACTGAAGGAAACAGCTTCTCATTTCCCCTCTGCCATTTCTGTTCCAAAATGAACAGAACACCAGCGAAGACATGCTCCAAAGCCACACTTGTAAATTTCTAATTTTTAAGTCTGTAGTTGGAAATGATTTTTTCTCTCTGATTTTGAAACCTTACAATGAGGGGCTTAGGTGTGGGCGAAACGAATCAATACAGGCTAGAGAATCTTATTAGATGACTGAAATGCATTAGCTTAGCCAGGAGGAAAGTGGTAGCAAAATGACAAGAATGTGCTTCATTGCTAATAGTTCTGTTACAGGTTTTCAAAAGTATTCAGGCTGTACTTTGTCGTGGAGGTAGACAAAACCCACATGCTCTATTCTCACAAGCACAGGAGCAAGATTTGCACAATACCACAGCAAACATCATGGCTTCTTAACAAAAACGATGTTAGCCCCTAATCTTTTCCTTAGATTTGCTATTGATTTGAAAGGCAGAGGCAGAGGCAGAGAGAGAGAGAGAGAGAGAGAGAGAGAGAGAGAGAGAGAGAGACATCTTCCTTACTGGTTCATTGCATAAATGGCTGCAAATGCCAGGCTGGGCCAGGCTACTGCCAGAAACCAGGAGCTTCTTTTGGGTCTGCTAGCTGGGTGCAAGGCCCCAATTATGTAAGTCATTTTCTGCTGCTCAACATTAGCAGGGAGCAGCATAAGATGTGGAGCAGCCAGGACTAAAACAAGTGTCCCTATGGATGCCAGTACTGTATGTGGTAGCCTAGCATGATACGCTATGGTGCTGACCATACTAGTCCCACATGTTTTCATGATGGGAAATATAGGACAGAAATTTAAAAGTAAAAGGAGTATATGTTTTTGCAACTCAAAATCATTGTGAACAAGACCACCATGATATACTCCAATTAAATAATGGTTATAGGAAATGATTGCTTCTCACTGTCATTATTGCCAGGACAAGAGTCCAAAGTCGATCATGTTTTAGCTGGTTAGTTTCAACAGTCCCCTAAATGATCCTCCTACTTCTGCTCTGGTTCACACACCAAACTCTCAAATATGCCCAGTTTTGCAACTGGTTCTATCTGAGTTCAGTCCAGTAATCATGGAACAGCTGGCCACCAAAGTCATTGGATCATGCTGTGCCACAGCAACTACAGATAGGACCCAGAATCCAATACCTCTATAGCAGACTAATTTTTCAGCTTTTAAACTTGTGTGGGCTTCAAATGAGGTTATACATCCCCAAAGCTTCTCCATCCTGGTACCATCATCTTAGGTTAGAAAATACCAAAAACCTTACTCTAACCCATGGGACCCACGGGACTTCTGTCATCTGTCCATCCGCCTGTTTTTCTCTGGTTTCCCACTGCTTTTTTCTTTGTTTCATTCCCTTCAGCTCTCCAAGTGCTCATTACCCAGGACCTTGGCGCACACTCCATTCTCTTCTTGGAATCCTCTTTCCACAAAACCCCACAAAGAGATGGCTCTCACATCTTTTAAGTTTTGTCTGCTTCAAAATTCCTGTCTTACTTCATCATTCCTGTCCCTGGCTATCTTCTCCATAAAGCTTCCATTTTTTTTTCTGCAATATTTTCCATCCCCTTCTTTTGCTTTCTGTAATTTCTACCATTATGACTTTTTGAGAAAGGGAGTTACCCATTGCCCACCCCAACAGGTGACAGCTGGACTCAACGACGACAATCTATGCGAAGCGTAAGACTTACCTGAGCATGGTGAACCTAAGCAAGAGTACCACTCAGGAGACACATGGGAGGAGATTGAGTAACTTACTTGGAGATTCATTTTCACAGGTTTCTTCCTCGTTGGGTGCCTCTGCCTCTTCTTCCCCCTCCTCCTCCTCTTCTGGGTCATCAGTATCTCCTGACTCATCACTGTCTTCCACCCATTTTCCTGGCATCAGCCCTGCTGAGTCATAGGAGTGGCACAAGGGACCCACAATGTGAGAGATGAAGGATTCCTGTAGATTAGCCAACTGAGGGGCAGAGCGGTCCATGAAGGGGCTAATGGGCAGACCAAGGCTGGCCTCTTCATCACCCTGGAGAAAGAGATTTAGCATGGATGTTTAGCCAGAAAGGTAAAATACAAGGGGAGCTTAAAAAAAAAGCAAAGCCAACATCATTCACCTGGCACCTAAAATGTGTAGGGATGTAAGATACCAGGCATTCATGTGAAAACCCCTTCTTCACCTGACTGCTGAGAAAAACGCAAATTTTAAGATTCTTTAAACCTTGCTGAATTGGACTACTTTTGCAACCTCCAAGTTTTTGGCTTGGTTCCCAGGGGAAATACAAGAGATCTCATGTCTAACTATACATGTCATATCACATTATTGTCCCTTATCTGAGAACATAACTGCAATATGCAATGCTAGACACAATCATTGAACAAATAAATGATTTGTTACATTGTCTTTTGTGCATTGGCTTTCAACAAATTCAAATTAACTTTATAGAGCAGTTCAAGTGTTCACCTTTGTTTTTGGATTTTGTTTGAGCAGTATCTTATGTAACTACATGGTTTCTGAAATGCTTGTATATGCTTTTATGTTTAATACGTAAAATATTATAGAATAGGTACTTAATTTGAAAGGCTTCAGATTGTTCTGGGAGAAAGATGCTAGAGCAGAGACCAGAAGTTAGCAACCTTAATAAAAGAAACATGCCAAAATGTCAACAATGTTTATGGTTAAGGAGTTGGTCTGTTACAAGCAATTTTTCTCTTTTCTTTTTCCCTTTCAATATTTTTATACTGATACTACATGAATCCTATTCTGAATAAAGTGAAACATTATTTTTAGGAAGTAACAAAGGTAAATGCTGTGGCAGAATGGCTTAAGCTGATGCCTGCAATGCCAGCATCTCCTATGGGTGCCAGTTTGTGTTCTGCCTACTTTACTTCTGGTCTAGCAACCTGCTCACAGCCTGGGAAAAGCAGTGGAGGAGGGCCTCAGTTCTTAGCTCCCTGCCACCCTCATGAGAAATCTGAATGAAAGTCCTGGCTCTGAAGTGGATGGCAGTCCACTTCATTCCAGACACTACAGCCACTTAGGCAATGAACCAGCAGATTAAAAGATCTGTCACGGTGTCTCCGTAACTCTGACTTCGAACAAGCAGTATTTTTTGAAATGGAACCATAAATATGAAATAGTGTGATCATACTTTTACAGGGTTGGGAAGTTTTGCTGAATGTGCAGATCAAGAAATTAAAGTTTAGTTACTTACCTGTTCATAAAATTCATTAACAATGCCTTCTGTCCATTGAAGATGCAATTCTTTACATTTAGCTGGTCCATTAATATCTGCCAACTTTATACACATTTGACAAACCAGTAGGCGATCGTTTTCATTGGTCCAATCTATTCCAACTTCATCATTTACCTGTATGATGGATAAAGTTCAAAATGTGTTTTTGCCTCAGGGACCACAAAATGAAGGAATACTTACTATCTTGCTGCTATGTGAAACTAAGAATACCAAATAATGAAGAACTTTTAAGTTATGCAATGTTATTGGCTATAGAAATTAATACTTAAATGCTTAGGAAAGTGAAATGATGAATGCTGAATTTAGTAATTATTAATTATAAAACTGACAATAAATACCACTTAGCAATTAACATCAGCTGTCGTAATTTATACTAATGGTAGGAAGCATTCTTGAATTAACATTAACGCATTTGGAGTATAAATTTTTGCTTCAAGTCTTTCATCTTTACTACTGCTAGGTAATTGATATGAATGCACCATACATATAAAAAACTAAATCAAACAAAAAACCCACAATAGTTAGAATTCATTTTTTTCTTCGTAGAATGAAGCATATCACCCAACAGCACTCCATTTTCTTAGACACCTAGAACCAGTTCAGCCCCTCTATGTCTGCGTATGCCTAAATACTTCACTATGCTTTGCTTTCACATTTGACTGATAAAAGTCGACAACAATGAGTTTTGTTTAGCTCTTCGGTGCTACATCATCTGCTCTGACCATAGAGTGAAGACCAGCACACATCTCATTACCTTGGCATTAAACTTGGCTACGAAGTCAAAGTGTTTCTTCAGGTCAGTGGCCAATATTGCTTCGATGACAAGGAAACGGAAGTGCTTAAATTCCACGTGGTCAAGGTTAACTAAAAAGTTGTATTCTGGCCGGGACATGAAAAGATTCCACGCAGCAGCTGCATGATGATTTTCCAAAACCGAGCGATCATTATATAGCACTGCCTACACAAAGAAAAAATTCAATGTTTAAGTTAAAAAGAATCGCAGTAACAAATAAGCATGTGCAACGGCTTTGAAATAACTTAAACATTTTCTTTTTATATAAAGGGCAAATTTACAGAGAGAAGGAAGGAGAAAGAGAGAGATCTCCCCTTTGTTTCTTTGCAAGACACAGGAACTTAAACATGTATCAATACTCCTGAGCAGTGACTTACATTTTCTGAATCCAGCACACAAAATTATGTAAACACAAATGACTCTAAAAAAGGAATGGGTGCCCAACAGGCCCCAAAATCAGTATTTTCCCTTGATAATCAGCCATATGAAACATATGGGGAACTTCCAAAAGTTCACAGAAAACTAAAATAGATAACATTTTGGTGCAAAAAAAAAAAAAAAAAAAAAAAACAAACAAACTAAACCAAATCAAACAAAAAGCAATTCTGGCATTTTTTTATATGGACAGTCCTCAAGGTATCCAAGGTATCCACAGAAAAGTGTGCAATGAAAAATCTATGCACAGATTTCAAAATTCTCTTCCATGGAAACTTATGTTTTAACTGTTCTACTTTACAAAATAATTTTTGAAGAATCTTTGTATTATTAAGTTGTTTGCTGTTCGAAATTTTCTAATGGCACAGGAAGTCGAGTTTAAAAAAAATAAACAACAAGAGACAACAAGAAAAAAGGAAACTGCATAAAAGCTGGCCGGGACCAGGGCAGGCTACAAAGTAAATAAAAAAGGTTCCAGGACAAGCATAGAAGATAATGCACCCAACCATGAATCCCTAGTAAGAAGGTAGACAGGGGAAGGGAAGGGAGTCGTGCTTGTGGGATGTATGCTGCCTCTCTTTAGGGAAAACAATTCTGGCATGTACTTCTGGTGTATGAACAAGAGGCTGTGAGCTGGAGAAAAAATATACTGGGGATTTTTGTTGAAAACAGAATTGAAGGAAATTATTAAACAGTTCGTAGGGGAGGTTGTGGAAGCAGATGGGAATGGGATAAAACAAAAGTGGCCAAACAAAACAAAGCAAGAGCAAATATGGGAACATGCTTGTGGGAGATTGCCCCTCGATCTCTGCCTGCTAGCTGGTGGGCATGACTCACAGCTGTCACAGCTTACCTGCCCATGACCTGAGGCACAGCTTCCAGCCCTGCCTGCGGAACATGACCTGTGCCGCGTGTGCCTTCTACCCAATTACACTGTCACTGCTGGGTGAAGGGACTGTCCGGAGACACCCTCTTGCCCTTCCCATTCCTCGTCTATATAAATTTGTAGCTTCTTCACAATAAATGGACATTCCCCACCAGGTTGTCCCTGGTGGTTCTTGCGGCCTAAGAACACTGTGGCCTCACCCCCTCTGCGGCCTCACCCCCTCTGTGGCCTCACCCCCTCTGTGGCCTCGGCCCTGCTAGCAGTTCCCCACTGAGACGCGCTGCTCTGTAGATTTCATAGCTAGATGAGCAGAGAATTGCAGGATGTTCAATAACCTGGTTCCAGCTGACTCAACTGAGAGGAAGTAGAATTCATTTCTATAAATGGAAATGTCTTGGTAGTTAGTGATGTCTTAAGATGTACATACACACAAGGGTACTTGGAAAGATTCTTAGAGATACAAAATTAAAAGATGGTTCTTTGGGGGCTTCGATAGCCTGGAATCCCTGCATAGGTGTTTGTTTCTTTTCTTTTCTTTTTGTTAAAAGATTCATTGATTTTTATTGGAAAGTCAGATTTACAGGGAGAAGGAGAGACCAAGATCACCCATCCCACAACAGCCGCTGATCTGGGTCTTCCACTCCAGTGCAGAGTTCCAAGGCCCTGGGCCGTCCTCCACTGCTTTCCCAGGCCACAAGCAGGGAGCTGCTGGAAGGGGAGTGGAGCAGCCAAGACATAAACCAGCACCCATATGGGATCCTAGCGCATGAAAGGTGAGGACTTTACCAACCAGGCTACCGCAATGGGCCCCCCAAATAGGTTTTTTCACAGTATACATGTTTTGTGAACTTTCTGAGGACCTCTCATTGACTAAAATCAATCTGTTTAGAGTTGCCTAGGGATTTATGTTAGGTAATACATTTTCCTCAAATGGAAGCAAGCTCATTTAGCTCTTTCAAACCAACAGATATACCAGAAGGATAGTATATTGCAATAAAAATGCTTCAAAGGCATGGGATTTCTCTTCAGAGAAACCTTGCTGAAAAGTGCAAGGAAGACTTGGTTCTCTAATCCGTTCATGAATTCACTTTTTTATAAATCACTTTCTTCCTTGTTTAGGCAAGTCACAACCATGAATTCAAGTACATTTTTTTCCCAAGGAGAAAACTGAGAAAGGATCCCCATGGACAGTAAAACTGTACACCTGCCATTAAAAACTTACAACAATTCACACACTTGTTCAGAATCAGCATGGTCTCCAAGGAGTTCATTCAAAACTGAAATGTGGTTTGCTCTAATGCTGTCTTGGTGTCTATGCCAAATGAAATCTGTTAAATAATTTTTTTCTCCAGTGGCATCTCAAAAATGCATTCTTTTTCCCAATTAAAACTTGAAGAGTTACCTGAGGCGCACTGGTGGCGACCAGGAAGGCGTTCGTTCTTCCCGGGTGGTCGTAGTCATGCATGGCCGCAGCCACGTACAGAGCCATCAGTTCCAAGGCAGGGATATTCCCAGAGAGGCAGCCGTATCTGTCATCAGGCACAGTATACATTTTTGAGAATACATATCCCATATGTCCATGCGTGAATCCACTGTCAGAATCTGAGAAAAGTAAAAGCAATGTGAACTTCAAAAAAAAAAAATAACACAAGACTGATGTCATGTGTCTCACTTCCTTGAAACAGCCTTGTTTCCGTCCTTCGCAAAGGAGCGTGGATGAGCTTACTACATACCTGAGTCACTTGCTGATCCATGGTCGCTGACGACAGTGGAGAGGCCCGGGATGGGCTGTGTTGTAAGATACCAAACAGCATGCAGGACGTCAGTGGCGTGAACTCTGTTGTGATCTGCAATTAATGTGAAGGAAGTCATCCATTTGTGAACTCTGGGGACCAAGGACTCAGGGTGCCATCTACTGGACAAACAGTTCAGGCCTCACATTTTAAAAAGACCCACTGAAAAGTCAGTCACTAGGACAAATACTTTCATAACTCTGTAATGTTCACAGTGACAACAAGCATTATACAAGAAAACCTGTGAAACAGAAAATTCTATATCCAGGGCTTATATGAACTCTATGCATTTAAGGAACTCTATAAGTCCTTCTATACCCATTTTCATGCTCCTTAAATAAAATCCATGCTGAGGACCAGGATAAAACAAGAGAGACATTATATACATCAGCAAGATCAGCTCAACGGTCTACTGCAAAATCTCAGTTTGGCAAATGACATAATGATATAATCTGTGAATAGGACACAGTAGTATTCATTTGTATTAATGTAAAAACATGGCATTAAATATGATGGTAAAACTTTTATATATAGTTCAAACACAAAACCAAGTCAAGGACAAAAGCAATCACACTCTTGAATCAACACATTCTAATCTGGAAATAACCAAGTAGCCACAACAACAACAAACAATGCACAGTAATATAAAAGCTAAAACAATTCGAAGAGTAAAACTTAATAGAAAACCCAAGTCCCTTAATCCTCAGGCTGTCAGGATGTCATCGTGGCACGGAGGTCATTGTTGGCACAGGAGATGAACTTCTTCTGAACTACAATCTAATGTCCGGCACACTGCTGGCTCGCCGCATTTTTTTTCCTGGTGAAATTATTCATGAATTTTCTTGATAACCTGCCCTGCTCATGATAAACTTTTATTGCATACGATGCTTAATCCTGAATGTCCTATCTACTTGCATTTCCAGTAATGCTGTTTCCTTCCTCAGTTTATGTTGAATAACAGAGAAGTGACAAACAGAAGAAGAATGATAACATGAATATGAGCAAAACATCTGCTCCTTGGGTAAAAGTTAAAAAAAAAAAAAGCATGGTTCTGAGGGCACCAGGCAGTCGAAGGTAGATGGTACTGTTTTGTCTTTATATATATATATATATTTCTGGCAAATACTGAGAGCTCATCAGTAAATGATGACATAGACAACTTTGGGTAGATACTCTACAAGTCATCCAATGGGAGTGAGCACAAGGCTTTGAGATGTTCTTGGAGGAACTTTGAGAAGCACATCCTGTAGGCTGCCAAGATATGGGGAAAATGACCACATTTGTGCAACTTTGACCAGCAATATGGGTGAGTTCTCATTGTATAGTCTTTCTATGCAATTTTTAAAAAAGGTTGGAGTTTATTTTCCTGTTACAGCTCATCATCAAGTCCATAACAATTACAGATGTGTATGCACAAGAAGACTACAATTACTTTATGCCAGCACCTGTGTTCAATACAAGGTCAATCATACTAGAATCCAGATTTGGGAGAGATCTACTTTTGTCTCTGCTGATATTTATAATTCATAATTTCTTAGGCAACTTACTCAAAAGCTCATTTTTTTTCCTGTTATTATTTCCAAGAAACACTCTGTAGGTGTAGGGATTCCCCACTCCCCTTCTTCTTCCTCCCCCTCCATTCCCTCAAACCCCTAAACATTTTCCCCCATATTATTACAACAGTGCAACCCTTTAACAATAGTCACAAGTCCAATATTCTTCTATTTAAGTTAATCATGGCATTGTAGGTATTGACAACATTGGGACATCTGCAATCATATTGCCACGGTATATTAAACAGTTTCAATGGGAGTTCTCATTTTATTTGGGAATAGAGAAACTTACTGCAATCTATCTTCACTTCCCCAATATGCTAGTCTCTGCTAGACAGTTCATCTATGAGAATATATGCACAGACTTGTTATGTATCTGCTTTGTATTTTGCATTAATGTTGCCTTTTCTTGGAGAAAAGCTCATTTCATTAGCTGGAAAACGAGATCATTTTGGCAGTTAAACCTCTGTCTGCAAGCGCCAGCATCCCATCTGAGAACCTGTTCAATTCCCAGTTGCTCCACTTCCAATCTAGCTCCCTGTTTGTGGCCCAGAGAAAGGAGTGGTTCAAGTCCTTGGGCTCCTGCTCTCTTGTGAGAGACCCAGAAGATCATCATGGTTCTTGACTTTTGAACTTAACTCCAGTCATTCAGCCATTTCTAGGGTAAACCGGTAGATTAAAGATCTCTTTGTTTTCTCCTTTCTTTGTAACTTGGCCTTTCCAATAACAATAAGATAAATCTTTAAACAAAACAGATCAACTTAAAAATTCTATTTTCCATTTTTTAAAAATATGAGAATAGTAACAGTGCTAATTTGATAGTACAATTCTGAGAATGACAAATGGAATAGACTTTCCAAGTGCCTGAGATCCATAAACTCACAGTAAATACAAACTCTGGGATTAATGAGCGTAAAATAAGTTGTTGGCTGTAGAACAAGATGTTCAATTAGCTCTAATCACCTGATATTCTCTTATATGCAGAGTTGTAAGGATAATACTGAAGAATTCACTAGACCATTAGGGTTAGGGTTAGTAGACATGTTGCATAGTTTTGTATATTTTCACAGTAATGATAAACAAATGGCTCCTATAACTACCCATATTAGTTTAAATTTGCAACCCCAATAGAGAGGTGGTATGGTTATTTTGAAAGCAATCACCATCCAACCTCATCCAAGCTAAAGCTCTTTTGTGTGTGTGTGTGTGTGTGTGTGTGTGTGTGTGTGTGTGTGTGTGTGTGTGTGAGAAGCTGTAACTAAATTCCCCGCATACAATGTGCTCTCTTTATCAGAAAGCCACGTCGACTCTGACAAATCCTTTTCAATGCAATGAAGAACTCATGAAAACATACCTGGTCACTTTAACATATAAAATGTAATCAAGACATTGCAAACATGACAAACATTTTAAACTACTTAAATGCTGATTCTTGTTCACTAGGATTTGATCATAAACTCCCCAGGGAAGAGTTTAGAATGAACTCTGGAGGACAGTATTTAAGTGAACTCAATCAAGTCGAGTTGCCCCTGATACTATCACTAAAATGTAGAGGAGACACCAAAAAACTCATGGAAAAAACAAAATCAAGAGATGTATTTGGGTGTAAGCTTTTCCATGTCTTTTAATAGTATAACTTCCTATGAAATTTTTGACGATTCTTCATATGTTTGCTAATACGACACAGATTTAGAAATTCCGTCTCACGCCTGTCTGTTCCCAGTGCTTTGAGTGGCCTCCTTTCTGTAATGGTTTATTTATGTAACTCTTTAACCTTTGAGAAATCACTAGCACTTTAAGTCAATCGCTGGCATCTAACCAGGGTGAGCCCTGGGAAAATCGTTGCTAAGAAAGCAAGGCTTATCTTCAGAGTCTTTCAACCTACCCACTGCTCCTATCTCTTAGCTAACTGCTGTGGCCTTGTCAGACAAACTTTCCCATTCTACCACTGCCACGTTCTTCCCTCTGCTACCCCAATTGTCCCACTCTGCCTTGCATTTTGGTCCTGTATCCGCCACCCCTCTCACAAAAACACTCATTTGCAGATTCAATCTTTCATTTTCCTCTCTGTCACATATGCATCAGCTTTTTATTGTCATCACAATGGAGTAAATCAATGACATTTTTTTTTAGGAAGAGTTATGCATCCGTTTCTGGGAATATCTTTTTTTCTATAACCCCATTCTTAATTTAACATCAGCTCTTTGTAATAGAACTGGTGTCTTGCAACCCAAGGTATATAAAAGTCAATGTAAAGTTGGAAAATGAAAACATGATACAAATACTTCCATGACACTGAAGCTAACACATCAGGTTTATTATTTTTCTTTCCATTTATTTATGCTGTAGACACACTACCTCAGCTGTACCAACTCTTATTGGATCTCTGGGCATTTCCTCTAGTTTCTTGATGCTATACTATCGTAGGACAGCTCTCCCTCTGTGTTGATGATCACATGAAATGCTGCACAATTCTCCAGTATCTCATTATTTATGGCTACAAACTGTATCCTACAGTACTCAAGGTTCAAATGCTGGCTTGCACCCTCTCTTCGAGTTTTCATATTTAACTCTACTGTACAATGTTTCTCATTTTTCCATAACTACTTTCAGATGTCTCTTCTATTTTACTATTCAGATTGCTACACTCCTGTTCTCCCAATATCAACTGCATTTATCTTGCTTACATTGAGAAAACTTAATATTTCATGGAATAACTCTACAGAGATCATAAAGTCACATGATAAAAGTGGCCAATAATTAAATAGGCATTAGTTGGTTATTAGGTAATTTGAACTTGGTTTATACCCGGCACTAGTCTAACATCCTCTAACTCATTATCTCATTGAATGCTCACAATTCTGTGAAGCAGACATTATGAGCCCAATTTTTAGGATGAAGAAATGAGCCGCTATGGAGGCCAGGCTCTAATATACATGGACAAGAGCCAGGATTCCAACAGTTTACCTCCTAGTCCTTACGTGGTGTGTGCAACTCTCTGCTGGCTGATCATGAGCTAATAACTTATTACCCACAGCAAATTTAACAGATCTTCCATGTACTCCAGCACCAATGATGGATACTTACAAGGAATATCCCTATATCCGATCTCCAAAGCATGAAAATAATTCATAAATTCCCGAACAGGAATTTTAAAGGCTTCAAAGAGACCCATGTCTTCAAAAAGTCTGTAGGACACCTGTTAAAAAAAATACAAAAATACAAAGCCTTACAAAAGATCCTTCATTGCGCTCCAGGTACAGAGAGAACAATGGGAAAGGGTACATCCCAAGGAGTGTGTTAACTATTTAGATCACCAATGGAGACAGCTATGGATATGCTGAAGACGCGGTATGTGCTTCTTTGTGAGATTCAGGATCGGAGTTAAATGCCTGTTGGGGATCAGGGTGGGACAGTTTTGGGGCCGCATCCACCTCAGGAGGACTTGTCCTGAATAACGCAAGAACACACTGGAGAGCCAGGGGCTCAGAGATGGGCTTTGTCTTATTTACGCAAGCAGCCTCCCGCTGTTGGGTGAGAGGTAGATGGCTGTGTGGCATCTTAGCCTTCACTTCCGTGAACTTCCCTTCACTGTGGATGGAATGTGGATATAACTTGTTCTCTTTCTCTCCTCCTTTCAAAAATCCAATAAAATGAAGTCGATAGATTCTGTCCTAACGTATCTTAAGCAACTGTCTCTTCTAGCTATGTCCTTCTTACTATTGCTTTAGACTATATTAGAGTTATTTTTAAGTATCTAAGGGATTTGACTAGATGTATTACTTCAGTAACAGCTGCGGCATACATGAACACAGACACAGAAAGCATTAAATGAGATGCCTCTTTTAGTGGTGGGTACAGGTGTACACACACATACACACACGACTTTTCCCATAATCAAAACTTTGTAACTTTTATACTCGTAAACTCAAATCAAAAGAAAAAAACTCATAAATCTCCACTCCGTAGGCAAATGAAGCTGCATTTTCCCAAAGCAAACGCTTTGTCAATGAAGTACATGGTGACTAATAAGCCTCATGTTGTAATGTGTTACCTATTACCTACTTGATCTTTGAAAGATGACTTGAACAGAGGTATTTTAATGAATTCCTGCTCAAATCCGATCGTGAATTCATCTCTTTCTGTCTACCGTTATCCACATTTCTAGGACAGCATTCTGTCCGGACCCACTGCTCCTAACAGCCTCTTTTTGGCTTGGCCGGGCTTCTTCACATATGGACAGTTTGAAGACAGAATTAGAGTGTGTTTTGCAGGGTGCTAAAGAGCAGTAAATACCAGACGCCTAGGCTTCTGATAAGGAGTCAGTGATGTTTCAATCTGGATCACTATGCCATTTTGGAAGAAGAGCGTTATCTTGTTTATGTCTTGGCGGCTGCTTCTGGAAAATGGAGATTAAGCAAAGTTTTGGAAAAGACCTGGACCTATAAGAGGGTACTTCCAAAAGACTGTGGGAAAATGGGATTAAAACTTAAGTTTATTCTGATGCATGAGGCTTTGAAATTAATGTACTTTTCAATATTAATTTTCCATGGATGTTGTAAAGATAGCTTGTGTATCAACTACAAAATAATAGAACTTTTTTTTTTCGCTCCACAGCAGGCAACATTACTAGCAAAAGAAGCAAGAGCCAGCTGCTTAACTAGTGCCCATACCTTGTGAAACCTCCCCAGGCCTATCCAGAGAAAAGCTCACTCTTGCAGTTCAGCAGTCTGTGATGGATTTCAGAATATGGGATACAAAACCTCCCAGGAGTCTCCCGAAGTATGAGGCTCTGGTGGACTGAATAAAATGGTTGCCCTTAAACCTGTCTTCAGGGTCAGCTAGAATAAAGGGCATTCCTTAGCACCGAGACAGAAAGAGGACGGGGACGTGGAACCCACAACACAATGTCCACGCTCAGTCGCCGTAGACTCCAGTTGGTAACCAACATGCGTTACCCAGACAGCATTTTGTTGTGTACCACATCCATCAGCAGTTTGACACGCCTCTTGCCGGCACCAAGCTGAACCACCACTATTTCAACACCCGTTTGCTTAACAGATTAGGAATTTTCCTAGGTCAAGGTTCTCTGTCTCTTTCTGAAGACTATACTGGTTCTCTGTGTTCCTACAGCCACATGCTGGCAGCAGAGCCAGCACACTCCCTTCTCCTTCCAGACCTCGGGTGGTTGGGCTCCTCAGTCTAAAGAGACATACCCATAGATTTGTTGGGAGGACTAAGGAAAACTCATCTCCCACTCAGCTATTAGAAATCAATACTGCCAGCACTCCTTTTTTACTGTTTTGCAATAAATCTGAGTTGGTCTTGAATTCTCACCTAAGATGATTGGCAACTTTGCTAGTTTGAGCGTTTCTGCTCTGGTATTTGCTCAAATATGTTAGAAACACACTTAAAACATTTTAAAACAAGCTGGTAACCATTACTGCTTCAGCATCCTTAATTAAAACATTCATTTTGGCAGATGTTTGATAATACAGCAAATCCATCACTTTAGTTTTGATTTCTGAAGCAAACATGTTCAAATTCTGAATTTCCCTGCATTTTCTATCTCTTAGCAAAACAAATCTGTCTTTAAATGAAAAACCTTGAACATAGTCTGAGCTAACAAAAACAGTACTCCAAAGCTTTTCATGCAGGAACAGTTTTCATCCCCTATTTCTTGTATTAATAAAGGTACTCGCTTTGGAAATAAAGAGAATTCAATTTCTTTCTCATTAGGGGAACATATTTTTGGACATTTAAAAAAGATTCACTTAAAAAAATAAAAGCAGTTAGGGAGAGAGATACTGAGAACATGAGACAGAATCTTCCATGTGTTGGTTGACTCCTCAAATGACTACAAGAGCCAGGGCTGGGCCATGTTGAAGCCAGGAATTCTCAACAGCCAACAAGCATGGCAGTGCCCAAGCTACTGCTGCCTTAGCAAAGAGCTAGACTCCAGTGCATTAGCCACATGGAATGCTGCCAGTGACTTCACCTGCTGCTCCAGTATGCCAGCCCCTACTAATTTTTCAAAATTTAGGAAAAGAAAATATTGAGCCTAAGAGAAAGCACCCAAGTGAGCTCCTATCTGCTGTTCACGTGCAGTGGATAGAACTGGACCAGCCTGATGCCGACAGCCAGAAACTCAACCCGGATCTTCTTTCAGGGCAGTAGGAACCCAACTGCTTGGACCACCATTTACTGCTTCCCTGTGTCCACCAGAGCAGGAAGCCAGAGCCAGCAGCTTGAGCCAGGAAATTGAACCCAAGTAGTATTCTTATGTGGGTGTCTTAATCATTATGCTAATTATTCTCTTCCTAATATTTCTGGAAAGGCCTAAGACATATGATATTCAAAAGGTTAAATAGTCATTGAAAATAATTTCAGACAACAAATTCATATGCAACCAGCTTTGCTCTTTTAGGGGTCCTGTATCAACTTTGCCTTTGAGTATTCTTATCACTCTACCTATTATGTCAAAAACAATCCCTAAGATGTTAGTCATATAACACAGGATTATACTCACTTGAAGTTTCAGTTTCTCTTGTTAACCCACTAGCAGGGCATCTGTAGAACACTGTGTGTGTGTGATGCTTCACATCAGCCATCCAGAGGTTTCAAAAACATAGATGACTTCTGTTTCCCATTTTTAGAGTCATTTGTGTGAAACTACTTCCTTTTCAAAAACGAAAGGGCTATTTTTATTTATTGAAAGGCAGCGTTGAAGAGACAGAAAAGACACACAGGGAGACAGAGTTCTTCCCTCTGCTGATTCAAACCCCACATGGCCACAATGGCTGGGGCTGTGCCTGGCAGGGGCCAGGAATCTGGAGCTTCTTCCAGAGGTCCTACGTAGGTGCACAAATGCAGGAACTTGGGTCATTATTCGCTGCCTTCCCTTGACTTTAGCAGGGAGCTGGACAGGAAGTGGTGTAGCTAATGTTTGATCTGTCAACCCACTACATTCAGCTCCATGAATCCATTTCTTACCTGACTAAGAATACGGCCACATTTTCTTCCAATGTTTTCCACTAAATCAAAAATTGGAAAATTCCAAGTATTTAGTTGCTCCATGATTGAGTCCAGGTTATCCATGACAAGAGGTTCAGGAGCAAGAATTGGCTTATCCTGCAATAAGAATTAAAATATTTTCCTGTCAAGAAATCCATATTTTGCTAACTTTGACTTAATAACTATGATTATCTGAGATAAAAGACAAAATCTCAGATGAACAAACAACCGTTAAAAAAAAGGGTGGAGGGTGAAAAAAGAAGACATTGGCCCAAAATAACAAGCAAAGCATCAGAAGTGGTTTCAGACTATGAATCTCTGCCTTGTTGGTTGACATCTGTCCTTGGCTCACACACACTTCAGCAAAAACACAGATATTTCTTCCATAAGCTTCTATGAGTCTGATGTAGGGATCTTAAATCAAGGTCCCAGGATTCAAAGGCACTTGCAAATCACATGTATTTTTAAATACATGTGTACGATTTTCTGGAATAAGAATCCTTGTCTCATATTTGGACTCTCAAACAAAATCATGAGTAGGGAGGGCAACGTCACCCCATTGCAACTAATTAAGTTTACAGCAATGCTCGGAAGTCAGCATCATGATTTCACGCTGGAAAAATGACGGCTGCCACATTTCAAGGATTCCAACAGTGGATTTGTGATCTGTTATTTCCTGAGAAACACATAGGAAGTAAATGAAAAGACAGAACTAGTCTCGACGGAGGGGATTCTTTCCATTCACCATCTCCTACTGCCGATAATTAAAAAAAAGATAAGAAAGCAAATTACTTGAAAATGTACAAAATGCAAAAGATAAGTATACTAAAAAACCCACAATGGGTAGTTATAAGAGACTAATCATGTAACAACTATATTGCATCATTTGCTGCTTCTTCCAAATTAACAAGATTCAAATGTGTTTCATTTGTCCTTAAATAGATCTGTTCAAATACTAAAATAAATCATCATTAAAGGGTATTTTAATAGGCAGAAACAGTCAGAGTAAAAGACACTGAATTATTTTCTAAATTAAGACACTACTAAGGAAAACCAGCAGGTCTCCTAAAGCTACAACTTGCCAATCCCTTCCTCCTTCCCTTCTATGCCTTTTCTATCATTACAAAATTGTTTCACTAAATGAATAGTCACACATTCACACCGTTTGTGTGTGTTAATATATGTAATACTTTGGGAGAAACGAAGAGCCATTTGTTGAGACATCTGGGTCATCTTTATGCTGCTAATCACCACCCAACAGAGTCACGGAAAGCTCAGCAGGAGCTGGACAGAGGGACACTGCACCGACAGGCTAGTGCTACAACACGGGTGATCCCAGACACACACACACTCCCTGATTGTAGTGCCTCAAGGAGGACCTCGCGCTGAGCCAGCTGCTGCAGGAGCGGCCCATCTCTCAGTACACAGATGAGTTAAGTGACAAGGGCCTACCACGAACATCAAGGTCTCGGGAGGGAAGGTGCGACAGGCAGACACGTTCCTCAGCGGCTGGCTGGGGCACTCGGCCTCATCTTCATTCTGGACGATGTCACTGCTGTCGCTGTTGTTGTTGGTTTCGTAATCAGAGGTAACTTGAGCAGCGTCATCTGCAATGGAACAAGAGCAGCTTGTTACAAGACCTACAACGGAGAAGAGCCTTCCACGTGCAGAAACTCACCTACAATTCACCACTGTGTGGCGAACACACTGATTAGGGTAACAACCCTTTCCTCAATCACACACCAAGAATACAAGAGTAGATGATAGGAAAAGCATACATGTTCTTTTTCCTTTTAAAAAAATATTTAGTTATTTTTATTGGAAAGTCACATATACAGAGTGCAGGAGAGACAGAGAGGAAGATCTTCCATCCATTGAGTCACTCCCCAAGAGGCTGCTTCAGCTCCAGCTGAGCTGATCCAATCCAAAGCCAGGAGCCTTTTCCAGGTCTCCCACATGGGTGCAGGGTCCCAAGGCTTTGGGCCGTCCTTGACTGCTTTCCCAGGCCACAAAGCAATGAGCTGGCTGGGAAATGGAGCAGCTGGACACCAACTGGTGTCCATATGGGATCCTGGTACATGCAAGGTGAAGACTTTAGCTACTAGGCTACTATGCTGGGCCCAAAAGCCTGCATTTGGAAACCCAATTTAAAAAGTGGGAATTCCCTAATTTCTGTGACAACAATTTTTCAACAATAGTGTATAGATGAATTCACACTTGAAAAAAAAATCTTAGTGACTTAATGTATCTGTTCCTGCATTCTTGTACTGACACTCTAAGTAGCTAACAGGTTACTCTGAACTGGCATGTGGGGTTGGGGCAAAAGGGCTGCTCAGGCAGGAAATGAGAGACTTGAGGAACTGACAGTGAGCCACACTGAGGAGGCAGGGGAGCCCTTGTTTTCCTAATCTGGCCGATTCCCTTCCTGGCCTGCCCCGTTCACTGTCTCCCATTTTAGTTGGCAGAAAACTGCTAAGTGACAACCAATCAGAACATATCAGGAATCTAAAGAACACTTGCTTTTGCATCGAAGACATCGAGAAGCTTGCCCGAGCTGAACAAAGAACAAAGAACAAGAACAAAGAGCCTCAGATAGCTTTACTGAGCACGTGCTGTGCGGCGGGTCTGACCTGAGGCATTTTATTTGTGTGTACATATCTAATGCTCTCCACAATCCTGATGAGCAGATTTTATGATTATTATTATTATTGCATTACCATCTTCACCTCACAGATGGGAAGCAACACACAGAAGTTGCCCAGTTTAATACAGCAGTGTCAATTTTACAATGCAATTGTAAAATTTCATTTCAGAAGGCCATGGCTCTACACAGACTGTAATAAGGACCACCTCTCCGAATCTATCAGCCCTACCAAGATGCTGAGAAAAGGAGGTCCCATAAAGCCGTGAGTCTCACATTTGCTACAGTATCAGAAAGTGATCACAGTGAATTATCTTTTGAATGATACTTGCTTGTGCCTTCTGCCTATTTCATGTTGCCAAAGCACCATATTCCCACAGAAAAATAATCAGGTAACAGTTAATGTGTTTGTTTTTTTTTTTTTTTTTTTTTTTTTTTTTTTTTTTTTAAAGATTTATTTTTATTATTTTGTCATTGGAAAGGCAGATATACAGAGAGGAGAGACAGAGAGGAAGATCTTCCGTCCGATGATTCACTCCCCAAGTGAGCGCAACGGGCCGATACTATGCCGATCCGAAGCCAGGAGCCTCTTCCGGGTCTCCCACGCGGGTGCAGGTTCCCAAAGCTCTGGGCTGTCCTCGACTGCTTTCCCAGGCCACAGGCAGGGAGCTGGAAGGGAAGCGGGGCTGCCGGGATTAGAACCGGCGCCCATATGGGATCCCGGGCGTGCAAGGCGAGGACCTTTAACCACTTGCGCCACCGCGCCGGGCCCTAATGTGTTTGTTTTTTTAAGATTTTTTTTGAAAGCTAGATATTCAAGGAGGAGATAGATTTTCCGTCTGCTGTTTCACTTGCCAAGTGGCCACAACGGCCAGATCTGAGCTGATCTGAAGCCAGGAGCCAGGAGCTTCCTCTTGGTCTCCCATGTGGGTGCAGGATTCTAAGGCTTTGGACAGTCCTTGACTGCTTTCCCAGGCCAGAAGCAGGGAGCCAGATGGGAAGCAGAGTAGCTGGGATACAAACCAGTGGTCATATGGGATCCCGGAAAGTGCAAGGCAAGAACTTTAGCCACTAGGCTACAGGGCCAAGCCCTACTGGGTGCTTTTTAACAAATGCTGAAATAGGGGCCGACACTGTGAGTAGTAGCCAAGTTTCCCTGTTCAATGCTGGTGTTCCACATGGGTGTTGGTTCATGTCCAAGTTGGTCCAATTCTCATCCAGCTCCCTGCTTTATAGCCTGTGAAAGTGGCAGAGGATGGCTTAAGTTCTTGGACCCCTGTACCCATGTGGGAAATATAGAAGCTCCCGGCTCCTGGCTCCTGGTTCTGCAGTGGTTCATCTCTGGCCATTGTGGCCATTTGGGGAGTGAACCAGCAGATGGGAGACCCCTCTCTCTGCCTCTCCTTCTCTCTGTATCTAGTCTTTCAAATAAAAATAAAATAGACCTTTTAAAAAAGGAAGAACTGCTGAAAAACAGAGTTAAGAATTATTACTAGGTAGCTCTGTCACCTTAAGGTCCACAGCTGATAGAAGCTTTTTATTCTACCTGGGGAACTTTCAGCACTAACAAAAACAAGTGTGGCTACATCAGCAAAAATAAAGTAACAATTACTCTAGTAATAGCAAATACAAACTGCTTACTGGAAACGAAAAGAGAAACAAAGGAAGATAGAGGGAAGAAAATCAAAAAGGGGAAGTAGCAGGGAGAGAGGAAAGAGAGTGATGGAGACAGGGATATTCCATCCTCTGGTTTACACCCCAAATTCCTGCAGCACCTAGGGATGTCTCGGGCTGAAGGCACAGGCTGGGAGCTCCATCAGAGCCTCCCACGAAGATGGCAAGGGCCCAAACCCTTGAGCCATCACCTTCTGCCCCCCAAGGTAGGCATGAGCAGCAATGAGGTCTAGACTGCAACCAGGACTCAACCCGAGGCACAAGTCACACCTTAGCCACCGTGCGCGCCCAAGGTAAGCTCCCCAGGGCTGGTTGTGTGGAAAAGTGGGTTAATCAACTTTCGGTGACTTGTACAACCCCTGTGGGTACTGGTTTGAGTCCCAGTTGCTCCACTTTTGATCCAGCTCTCTGGTAGTTAATACTTTTGAAAAACCAATGGAAGACAACCCAAGTCCTCGATCCCTGCCCCCACGTGGGGGATTTAGACAATGCTCCTGATGCTCCTGGTTTTCGCACACCTGGCCCAGTCCCAGCCACAGCAGCTATTTGGAGAGGGAACAACTGATTGTTCATTCTCGTGTTTGCTCTTTCAAATAAATTCTTTTATAAGTTTTTTTTTTAAAGATTTATTTATTTTTATTGGAAAAAGATCCTCCATCTGCTGGCTCACTCTCCAAATGGTTGCAATAGCCAGAGCTGAGCCCATCCAAAGCCAGGAGCCAGAAGCTTTTTCCAGGTTTCCCATGTAGGTGCAGGGTCCCAAGGACTGGAAGGGAGGTAGAGCAGCCGAGACAGGAGCCAGTGCTTGAAGATTTAGCCATTGAGCCATCACAACAGGCCCATAAATAAGTCTTTTAAAACACTCACAGAAGTGCATTCTCAGGCCCCAAAATAAATGTGTTCACATATACAGAAACATTCGGATAGTTTCCCACTCAAATTTTTTCTACAATTAAAAGTAGGGAATTAAGGGTGATTTTGATTTTTTCTTAATTTCAAAATATAAAATAACAGGGCATATCAAAAACTTCGTGGGAAACAGAATAAATGTAAGTTTATTTTGGTGCAAAACAGGCTTGAAATTTATGCAGTCTTTTTAATCATATGCTTTTTTTTTCTTTTTACACTTTTGGAAGACTCAAATAAGATGCTTTTCTGATCAGGAAGAAACAAATGATTTCTAGTTTCAGAGACAAAATCCACAAAATGAATTACCTGCTCTGCTCGGCATCCGAGGGGCTGGGCCGCTTCTGTCCAGGGGCCTGTCAGCAGGAATTCCCTGGGAGTAAGGTCGGCCACAGCTGGGAGATATGAGAACATCTGTTGAGTTTATGCTCCTTTTTGCACACATCAACCATATGTACATTCACACAGATAACTCTCATCACGTATTTCTGCCTTTTACTTATTCACTCACTAGAAATATTCACCTTTGCACACGGATGCTGAGGACACAGCTTTGTTTTCCTTCTCATGAGCGAATGATCGATAGGATACTTGAGGAAACGCATGTGACACTCATTCCCCGTTGCCACGCCCTGTACAGTATTTGAGGTGAAGGTGCCAGTAAAATGCACTACATCAGCTGGAGAACAGTGTGATTGGCTGTCACCTATTGCTAGTGGTGATGCTGGAGGGGCCAGCCTAAATTTGGTCAACAGCATCTTCCCCGGGGTGATATCTTTGTGTCTTCAACGGCTTCGTGACTAGATCTGTTTCTCAGAGTTCATTTTTGCACAGATACAGCTTCATGAAAGCAGAATGCAGCTTAAAATAGGGTGACAGTATATTTGCATCATGTTTTCTTTTATTGCCAAAGTTCCCAGATGAATTTTTTTCTGTATTGACCAGTCACTTGTTAGCACCCTAAAGAAATAACTCAGGAGACAGACGCTGTGGTGAGAGAGCAGGTACGACTGCCTGCACGGGGCGCTGGTTCAGGGACTGATGTCCTGCAGAGGGGACAGAGCCCCAGACAACGGCGGCTGGAGCATGCGAAATGCTTTTTTTTTCTCCCCCCTCTCAACAGCGGACTGTTTCTGAAATTAACAACAAAGCCCCCAATATCCTGGTAAGATTTCAAACTGGCTTCTCTCTTGCACACTCTTCTGGGGACTTCATGGCTACGTTTCAATCCTGCGTTTTGCCGCCACATTCTTTCTATTGGACTAATTATTATTTAATCACAAATTATCCTCTCAAAACGAAAAGTGTCCGAGTTCACTGCTAGGCATCTTAAACATTTCACCATTTTTAAATTGCGCTTATAGATACGGTCACAGAAAAAGCAGTGTTTTCATCTGGAGAACATCTTCCTTAGAAGGAAATGGGCTTCTCTGGAGTTTTAAGTAGGAAAGCTATTATTTCCAATTATGAAATCCTGTCAGGTCGCCTAAGGCAACCAAAAGAAAATGCTGGGACCAATGCAGATGCAAGCTGGAGGATATGCCTTCTGAGACTATACTAAGTAGAAGCAGAGTTCAGTCATTCAGACATATTTAATTGCAATGTAACACTTAAAAGGATTATTTAACGTAGTAGTTCAAATATATCTGCTCCCATATAAAAAAAACAGCATATTCTACAAAAACTGCAACAGCTAAGAGACTGGAGTGGACACCCATCCCTTCGAATTCGGCAGGGGAAGTGACAGTAACTGGTTATGTGTTTTTTGAGCTCTCTGTGCCTACGTGGGTGGCTGCCTGGAAGGCAAGGGAGAACCTGGTTTAAATTATCGACTTAGAAAGCCCCAATAATAAAACACACACTACTGTGCGTATCAACATCAGCCAAGCAGTCGACAGTGAAATCCTCTTGTTTTTCTCCGAAACTCTTTGATAAAAATCCCATTACATTTTTATTGCTGAGAACACCAAAAACAAAACAAAAAAACCCCAAAATTCACTAAGAACAAAAAATGGAAATTAAAAAGGGCTGTGAGAAGAGAAGTTCTGAGTGGCCGACCTTTCTGGCTGTGGGCATTCCTGTTTCTCACAAGCAGGGAGAGCACAGTGGGGGGCTTCCTGAGAAGGTGGGGAGCAGGTGTCCTCAGGGGCCCTTTTCTCGGCCAGACTTCCCACCCTGATGCAGCTCAGCTAGCTGCTCTCTCAAGTGTTTCCTGCCAAGCACTAGATGCATGGGCAATTACTGAATATTTACCTAAAGAAACATGCTCTGGGCCCAGGGCAGTAGCCTAGTAGCTAAAGTCCTTCCTTGCCTTGCACACACCAAACTGTGCCATATGGGCACTGGTTCTAATCCCGGCTGCCCAGCTTCTCATCCAGCTCCCTGCCTGTGGCCTGGGAAAGCAGTCCAGGACAGCCCTAGGCCTTGGGACCCTGTACCCACGTGGAAGACCAGGAAGAAGCTCCTGGCTTCTGGTTTTTCAGCTCAGCCCAGCTCTGGCTCTTGTGGTCGCTTTGAGGAGTCAATCGGCAGATGGAAGATCTTCCTCTCTGTCTCTCCTCCTCTTTCTGTATATCTGACTTTCCAATAAAAATAAATAAATCTTAAAAAAAAGAAACTTGCTCTGCGGTCAAGAATTCAGATGACACAGATAAAACAAAAATCAAGAGATGTTCTTTGAGCACAACCTCTTAGAGCTTCTGATAAAGGTGCACTATACCGCATCTCCAGATGTTACACACTAAAACCTGCCCTTACCATATAGGGAAAAGGCTATTTATCTCTCACAGGAGTCATTTTATTTAAAAAAAAATATTGAGAACACACTGACAGAGGACAGCAGGATCATGTGATAGAACAATTATTCTTTTATCCTGGCCAAACAGAAACGATTTTCAAAATCTCAGAAAACATTTACAAAGAGAAAAGGAGATAAAGATGGTAAGAGACAGTCTTTTGACTTGCGGAGTTGGTGAACAAGTTTAAGAAAATGAAACTTTTGAGGCTAGTTACTAGTAAATAGATTACATGGGTACAACTAGGATCTATGAACCCAAACTGGAACCTAGAACACCACCACTTACTAGCACAGCCAGTGAGCTTCCAAAAGAGTGGAATTTTATTCAAGGTATTCTCACACACATGATTACAAACACTCAGCTCTTTCCTGGTTTTATTTTTCATGCTGAAGAGCAATATTCCACATAAACATATATTTTTTTAAAAGTTCATCAGTGAGCAAATACATTTCTTAGTGACAACATTGACAAAACAATTATGGCAGCCATAGGAGAGCCCTTTTTCTTATCCTCTGTGGCAGGAAATATTCGTACAAAATAGCAAATGTTATCAGATGAGTTAATATCTGAGTAATACATTTTCTACATTCTTCATGAAGCAGAGCAGGTATATCAATAATAACTTGGTGTCATCTCCACAGGTTAGTGGATGGGTTATGTTGCCGTTAAGTTTTTTTTTTTTTCCACAGAGAAATAACTGAAAAATTAAGCTTCCCTGATAACCCATTCCCACACAAACACATCATCCCATATTTTCTGTTCAACTGCTCTGGGAGCCTACTCTGAGTTGCGTGGACTGCTGCTGGGCGCTGCTGTAGGCAACACTAGGATTCAGTTTGTTATCAAAGGCTACGCAGTTCTTACCTGCTACATATCACAGGTGCAGCCAGGCTCTGGGGAGAAAGGTCGGGGGCGCTCTGCGTGCACGTTAAGGGCTTGTGGGAACCCGGGCCTTGTCGGGCAGGTGTGTCAGCAGGTTCTGGAAACTGCACTGTAGAAACTTTGCTGATGGGGCTGCCGGCAGGAGTCCCTTGGAGAGGTGAGGAGCAAGGGGAGGAGAGAGGTGAAATTGTACCTGAGAAAGAGCAAGAGTAAGGGAGTCACTCCAAAGTGTCTTGGAAATAATACGAAACTGCAATGCTGAGATGGCGCCTTGACTCCTATAAACTCGACAATCACCCCAACTGCAGGCTTGGTGTTCAGCCGGGTGTCTCCATGGCATGAAAATGGGTACATAGAAATCATCATGAAAACTTTGGTGGCAATGCTGGCACATCCAGCTAAAGCCCTGGTGGCCCAGAGCAACCACAGGACAGAAAGATACCATTTTCTCCTTCCAGTTTTGTTTCTGACATGAGAATAATATTTCCACTCTTCTTGCATGCCTGTCTTCTGTTAGGTGGTGAGGATCTGATATTGCTTAAACCCAGTATTCTGGAGCAGAGTTTGGGAAGCATGGACTGCTTAAAATATGGAAATAAAGAGAATAAACAGGTTAGGGAGTGAGCCACCGGGGAGCGAACCAGCTGAGAGAAGCACCTGGGAGAGGAGAGCAGAGCCCACCCCAGGACCCTAATCCCCTTGAGAGGTATTAGGGCCACCCAAGAGGGGCCGTGGGAACCTAGAGGAGCTGAGACTGGATCAGTTACACGGATCTTGGTGAGTAAGCCAGAACTAAGGGCCAAACGTGATTGCGCAGGCGGACATTGGCAAGCTGTTGCACAGATTTCAGTGCCTGGAGCTCGCGCAAGGCAGGAGAGGGGGGTGAAGGCTGTCTAGGCAAAGATGAACAGCTCACAGACTGGACACACAGCACTGTGACAGAGAGCAGCGAGTGCCCAGATGAGTTTTGAAGGCCACCACAGGAGAGGAAGGAACAAAGCTGCTGAGCTGCACGCGGCCTCACGGTGCCTTGCACTATGAGTGGGGCAGGACAGAGAGGGGCCCATATAATCAGGGGTACGGCTCCGCAGCTCCACAAGCATCCTAACGTCTGCCGCAGGCCTGTCCTGGTGCCCATAGCACTAGCATGGCAGCAGCTGAGCAGCGTGCCCAGCACTTCAGCGGGGGTCCTAGTTGCATGGCAGGGGTTTCTGCCGCTGAGCAGCACTAATCAAGAAGTCTCTCTACTTACTGAAGAAGATTTGAGGTAAGCCAGTCACAACTCACTTGTCTCCAAGAGCAACAGTTAACCCAATAACCAACTAGGGCAGAGCAAGAAAAGATCAAAGAGTGACGCAGTTACAGTCAGGGCAGGAGCTAGCCCAGCCCTGGATGCCAGGGAAATCACGAGGGAGGGGGGAAGCAGACAAAGCACCGGTATGACTGGGAAACAGCCAAGGTCAAGTCTGGCAGCAGGGGGAAGTGCCAGCTGCAGAGGCCAAGGCAGGACCGAAGCATGGGGGCTTGAGCCTGAAGCGCCCCAGGGACCAGCACAGGCACCCAGACAAAGCACGGGTAGGAAACTGTGCCATTATGCTCAGTGAAATAAACCAGTTTCAAAATGACGAATACCATATGTGCTCTCTGATGTAAGCCAACCTTCACGCAAAATACAAAATAGAGATATATATACATATAGGTAAAGAACTATACACATAGGCTCTAAGAAACGAATGGTGTGACGGACACTAGAGCACTGGGAAATGAAGAAGTGCAGGATGCATCTCTACTCCAGAAAAAAAGAAGGATCCCCGGTGAGACAGTTAAACATACTGTGACAACAAGACACGGCATTGTCTACCATTGCCCGTACCTGCAGTGACACGGCACGCATGAACAGCTCAATGTTGGAACTGTGCCTGCGGCTGAAGGACTACAGTACTGTGAAACAGAGGGGGAACACGCAGAACAGAAAGGGAGAAATAGGCAGGAAGGGAAGCCCTGTAACTACAAAACCATATGATGGAAAATGAAATGAACAAATTTAAAAAAGGGGGGGTGGGGGGAACCTTTGGAGAGGCCATTAAGTATGAGATAGCCTGCAAAAAATTCCTGGAAAATGAAGAAACTATGCACAGATTTCAATTATTTTGACATCCAAAGAAATCTCTCCTAACTGTATTTTTCATGAACTTTTTGAGGTTATCCACCCATTAGCCATTATGATCCTAAGCAAAAGAGTTCCTTTCTGTGTGAAATAGTACTTTGATAAATGTAAGTTTTGAAGAAAACATTAGAACGTTGTAGTTCTCACAACAGACTTTAGTCCAAATTTCAAATGTTGTATTTGTGCCAAACTGCTCGGGTTTACTCCGAAATCTTTACCGAACCGCAGGAGACAGAGATCACGCATTTAGGAACCGTTCTCTCTTGAATATGGGAAAGGTAGCCTGCACTTAAAACTGAAAACAAAAGCAGCAACTTGTGAACGATCACCTGTTAACTAGTTTTCATGGCCGAACAACTTATCCCGGGGCAAACAGAATGTCATCATGTAATCCCCTTTTCTCACCATTTGGGCAATGCCCACCTACTGACCGCCCATCTCTCGGAGGGCATATTGTGCGGTTAATGGACTGCTTGGCTCAAAGCAAAGCCTGCTCCAGTGCCCATCTCCATCAAACACTTGATTAGTCATTGCCAAAGTTTTTCTGGTCCACTAAAAAAGAGAATGAAGCTTGCTGAAGAGGTTTTGTCATTTTAGTTTCAAATTTTTGGTTGACACTGTCACTTTTTTTTTAATGAGACATCACACTCTTATGTGTGAAAAATGGCCAACCACTCCTTGTCCCCACTATTCTACTGTTGGTTCTTCATGGATTACAATGAACAAATAGTGGCAGACCTGTAGCACAGCAAGTTGAGCTGCCACCTGGGACACTGGCATCCCAGTACCTAGTTGGAGTTCTGGGTTCTCTGTTCCCATTCAGCTTCTTGGCCATATTCATCCTGGGAGGTGGCCAAGCTAGCTTACACCATGGAATCCCTGCGGCCCTCCTGCGTGAGCCCAGTGCAGTTCTAGGTTCTGTGTTTTGACCTGGCTGTGGCAGACATCTGGAAAGTGAACTAGCAAATGGAACCTTCATTCATTTTTCTCTTTTCCTTCTCACTCATCCTGCCTTTCAAATACATAAAAATCAACATAAAGATTAAATAAGATTTTTATTTTCATGATAATAAAAAAAAAACTGATTAGAGGCACAGAACTTACAGACCCATTCCAGGATCACAGTCCTAGTTAAGTGGGAACCTAGTTTTTCTTAGAAACATGTGGCTTATCTGCTCCAACTTCTACTAGATTATCACGTGTGGCAAAAAAGTCCACAATGTATTAAGTAATGTTGGTATGGTTCTTCAAGGCTTGCCACTGATTTGCATTTCCAAGGACATGGAAAAAGAAACGTCTGTCAGATATTCAACACAGATTTTCTAAGCTGCATTACGTACAATCATGTCTAAAGTTAAGGGACTGTAATGGCTTTCAGAGTTTATGTAACACACTGACATACACACACACGAGTAAAGGGGACCAGATAAATGTGAATCCTTTTTCAGATATTTATCTTCACTTCATTACTGAGAACTTTTCAGCAACTCAATGAGCAAGACAGAATTTATGAAATATCAATCTCTGAATAAACTGTTCTAAAGTGAATTATTTAACACCAAAATACTCAAAAACAAGAAAAATTAAAAAGAAAAGTTAGAGAAAACAAACCAATCTGAGCTACCAACTTCTTTGAATAATTCAGCCTGCGATTCGTTGTTCCCAAGAGCTGGAGAGACTGTGTGTCAAGACCCAAGGAACTCTGGGTGATCGAGGGGAGAAGATAAACAATCTTGGAGGAGAATTGTTTAAGTGAAGCCATCTGTTTTGTGCTACATAACTCTGTTTTAACTGAGCAGTAAAGGAACCAGCTTGTCTGATCAATAGTGGCCTCTTTCCCATGCCCACAGGAAAACCACCAGTCCTACTGTTTTTCCCAAACAGAAAATGTATTTTAAGAGAATACAAAACCAAAACATCACAATAACAAAATTTCTGAAGGAAAAAAAAAACCTGTTCATTTGATTGGTATAGCGATATCAGTATTACTGTATCATGGAACAGAAACTTCCAAGAGCCTGGGTAAGAACCACTACAAATGCAGTGACTTTTCAAAAGAGTGGTGTAATCTTAGTATTCCTTTGCAGGAACTCAAACCAACAAGTGAGATTAGAAATGCAAATTATAGTTAAATTTCTTGTTTTTATGCTTCAATAAAAAGACTCTTATGTGGTGTCACTCAGTTACTTGACAGGAGTACTTGTTCTTTAGCTGCTTAAAATTAACGCTGCTTGACGAGCTACAGGGCACACTGTGGACTTGACTTGGACCAAGAACAGGTGTCATTAGCCTCCTTGGGAGACAAGGCGTTTATCTTTCCCTTTGCCTATTCTGCCTACACTTCTCCCCACTCCATTGCCGGTTGCTCCCCTTTTCTGTTCCTTAGAATCTTCTTGCTTATTTTATAAGCCTTTAGCTCTTCCCAACAGCAGTGCAAAGAGACCACAATGCAAAGCCGGCTGCTAAATGGCCCCGACACAGGTAACCGATGGCCTGTGGTGTCAATCCCTCCTACCCACCCTTGTGGAATCCTCTCTGGGTATTCCTTTGCTTTTATACTCTGCCCTATCTTCTTGAGTGCAATCATATGAATAGGACAGCGGGAAACAGGGATGACAAATGTTCTGACTGTAGCATTAGCATTCCCACTGCTTGCCCTAATAATTATTCTCGGCTTATTTGCTTTGTCATATTGGGTTACTTAATAATTTTTACTTTATTAGAAAGAGAGAGAATGAGAATCTTGTACTCCAATAAGGACAAAAACAAAACAAATTCTAATGTAAATTGTGCCAACTTGGGGACTTATGCTTTAGTTTCCTCATCTGAACTTTGTTCTCAACTGATACAAGCATAACTTAAATTCACATTTCATCCCTTGAGGGACATATTTTTTACTATCTGATATTTTAATTCAGTCTTTAAAAAGTCCCTTGCAAAACTTCTCATAAATCTGGAAATAGTAATGCTTATTTGTTAGCATGTATTTGGACTGAACCATAGTATTCCAACTTGTTTACCATTATTATGATTCTAGACTTTTTCTGGAATCATCTTTCTTATTTCCATATTCTTCATTATATATTTCTTTGGTGAAAATGAGGTAGGTGGTAAGGATTGGACTTTACTCTCCAGTTAGCCTGCAGAATCACCTGGAGAGTGCAAAATTCAGGTCTGGGAGTGGGCCCAGTAGGGAAACTGTGGGCACCCCTCTGAAGGCCTACAACTCCCACTGCAAGCATGAGAATCAGGACTGGGGGCAGGCCTGGCTAGACAGGTGGTGGCACGTGCTGGCATGGGTAGGCTGGAGGGTGGAGTCAACTGGGATGACTTAAGCTTCAACACCCAATTATGTAAACATGAGATAAATTACGTGGGAAATACTAGACCAGTCCACTGCACATGGTGGCTGATACAGAAACCAGGGTTGGGGGCCAGCTCAGTGGGGGTTATTGGGAGTTGCTCTGACTAGGTGGCAGTTCCCAATGGTGTACATGACGGCTAGGTGGAGGGAAGGATTGGGCTGGGCCGCGGCACCCATTGGTTTGTGTAAGAAATGGGGCTGGAGATAAATCAGATCCAGCAATTGCAATTACCAATGTGGACATAGGCTGATGTGGGTGACAGAATGAACTGGATCCTACATAAGTGGGCACACACACAAGAGATAGGCCTGAGACCACCCTGGACAAGATTATTTTGAGGATTCCCCTGACTAAACCACTGGACTCATAACTCCAACTATGGGGAGAATGCCAGGACCTGTGGTCTGACAATGGAGTGCATGTGTCAAAACTGGACCTTCCTAGTGGCTTTGACAGAACAATGGGCAACATAGCCAGAGGCATGTGGAGGATATGTCAGACCACTTGAGCATGCAGAAGACACTTGGTACGAGAACAGAGGAAGGAGGGCAGAACAAATTGATCCACTACCCCAGTGAAGCATGACAGAAAATAGTTAAGCCAATAGAGACTCAAAGGTAGACTGTGTCAACAATGGGCCTTGGAAGGATAGCCTCATCCTTGCATCCGCAAGGTCAACAGCATTTCAGAACTATCAATAGCACTTGAGCAGGACTCTTGAGGCACGCTTCACATCAGGGACTTTGGAATGACATCGGTGGCTGTTCCCACCCCTGGATGCTGAGGCAGCTGGGAGGCTGGGTAAGGCTTCTCCTCCTGTCTCTTTCCCTCAAGTACAGAAAGAAGGAAAAGAAAATATGAGAACACAGGTCTCATCCATTTTCCCCGAAATCTGGACTCTTCCCATCCTCCTCTCCACCCCAGGTTGTGGCTAAAGCCCATTCTGAGGGGCAGCTATGATGTGTTAAGTACAGGAGACCTGCTACGCACACGGACCACCAAGATACAGTTCCCAGCTCCCGACCTTGTCTTGGTCCAACCTCCGCTGTCGGCATCTGTGGGAGTGACCCAGCGGATGGATCATCTCTCCATGCCTTTCAGATAAACACAACAGAAATGTTTTAAAGTATATATTTTGAGGGAATCTCTGCAAATATTGGTACAGTATAAATAAAGCTTACATACTCCTCATAAAAATTGCCATTATGAGAACTTCTGGTTCTGTTGTAATGATATGGTCATAGGCAGCTAGTTCAGGGTCACAAGTTCAGAAACCACACCTCCCTGGCCTGTGTAATACTTTCTGCTCACCTATGAGTCAAAGGACATGTACCCATCATTACCTGGGTCCTGGGAGGGTGGGGGATGGGAGTGTTGCATTGTTGTTAACCACTCCCCTCTCAAACCTCCTGACAAGCCCTGGCTGGGGAGGGACTTGCTTTCTTGGTCACGCACTTCATGGCACTCTGGCTCATGGCCTTTCATGCACCTGCTTGCACTCTGGCTCATTCTCCATGAATAATGCCCACGTAGGCGTTAAGCTTAAGCCACGTTGGTGCCTGCACTTAAAATGCTTTTTAAGTAAGAGGCAAGAATCTAGGAAACAAACATTCTGCCCCAAACTAGACCACAAGAGCAGTAGCCTATAACAACCCCATGATTTTTTTTAAAATTTACTTTTTTATTATATTACTACTACTACTACTACTATTATTATTATTATTATATGATATAGTTCCATAGGTCCTGGGATTTCCCTTCCCTCCTCCCCATTCCCTGCCCTGCTCCCCACTGAGTTCTCGCATGTTATTACTATAATATAGTTCTTTATAAACAGTCATATGTTCATTATTGCAGGCATGGACAATGGCAGAGTCCAGCAGCCTATTATCAAGATATAGTAAACAGTTTTATTGGGAGTCCATCTTTGCTCTGGAAGCAGAGATGCATACTGCATTGTATCCTCGTATCTGGATATGAGAGTTTCCATTACGCAGTTACTATAATCCTCTTAAATGAAAAGCCACATTACAAAATCAACAACAGGAAGAAAAACAGAAAGTTACAATGCCATGAAGCTAAATAACATGCTACTAGATATGATAGTCTCCGTTACACATTTACTATATATCCCCTTATATGAAAAGCCACGAAACAAAATCAACAATAGGAAGAAGAAATTAAAACACCATTAAGTTAAATAATATGCCACTGAATGACTAATGTGTCACTGAAGAAATAAAAATCAAGAACCTTCTTGAAGAGAATGATGCTACTGTATGATCTATGAGTCAGTGAATGATTTAATAAGAAAGTTTTTTTGAAGAGATGAAACTAAAAAAATAAGATCCATCAAAATCTATGAGATATAGTTTCTGCTGATTTTTGCTGGTGATGTATGTCACCTGTAGGCCACAAACAGATTTTTTAAAAATCCAGTCTACTAATCTATGACGTTTAATCGAAGAGTTGAAGCTGTTTACATCCTGGGTTCATATGAATGGGCAGCAATTTGGTCCTGTCATTTGAGCAATGTAACCTCGTGATTCTTTGAGAACAAATAGAGACGCACACAGTTAGGACACAACGGAAAAACTATCAAAGCAAAGCTCCCATTTCTTAGGGTCCAAGTTTCCAGGTAAAAGAGAATCTCAGAAGGGTGAGCCCAAATTCCGCTGAATGTTTTTCCCCTTCAGAGCATTGTTTATTGACTGCTGGCATGGAACAAGAGGCCTCATATTCAGCTGAAGGGTGTGACTGTAAGGGAAGCAAGCCAGCAGGGCTTTTAGCAATGTCACAAGGCTGAAGACGTAGCAATTGGAGTCTGGGGCCACCACCACAGCCAGCACTAGAACGTTTCATATCTCAGTGCAAAGGGACAGCTTTTCCCTGAGAATTGCTCAGTGCTAAAGATACAGAATAAGCAGAAAACAGCTAAAAACCCTATGAAAGTTTTCTATTGTGCTGAGAATTCAAACCCTGGAATTAATTCTCCCAAGTGATTAAAACAAACACCCAAGTCTCTAAGCAGGGACTGCAGGAGAAAGACAATCAAGTGACTCAATTTGAAAATTCCAGACCTTCATCAAACAGGTCATGTTTCCACAATTCATTTTGCTTTACCTAGAACTTCATTTTAATGTTGACATCTAAATTAGTGATCAGATTACCTGTAAAACATCTGCTCCAACTCACATGAATACCACCCTGAAATGTACTTTTCAACAAATTTTTAAATTTTTAATGGTGACATTAACTTCCCAGGCATGCAATAAGTTGAAGCAACTGATGTAACAGCCTTGAAAGAACATTATCGCCACAGAAAGTAGAAATTTACGTAACCAGATGCTCACCACAGCATTTTGTTTTTAGTTTTTAGAACAGTCAACCCAAAGTGTAGGACACCCTGGGGACACTTCAGCACCCAAGGTGAGGTGCTTGCACAGAGCTCAGTGGGTGAGCACTTCCTCCAGGAAGCCACTCACCTGGTCGATTCTGCTTCTTCACCTTCACGTGGTTCGCTGCCGACACAGTGTACGATGAAGTAAAGGACCTGCTTTTGGTGAGGGTCATCATCGCTGGGCTGTTCCAAGAGTCAGGAGTAACGGCACTGCAGCAACAGGATTGAGTGACAAAACAAGACACCAGTCATCCACTGTCGGGGCAAATACTGCCAGAAACTCAACTGTCATTTCCAAGACATATTGGTACTGGTACAGGTGCAGTGACAAAACCATAACCCTAACCCTGTGGCGGGAATGTAGGCGGCCACCACACATACTTGGTTAATGAACGAACAAAGGTAACTTTCTTCTTTATGCAGCTATAACTTTCTGCTTCTACAAGGGTGTCTCCAAATAATCATGGAAAGAAAGAAAGAAAGGTAAGTTGAGGGTTGTACAAAAGATTTTGAGAACCATGTCTAAGGATCTTGAAAAAGATCGTGGAAAAGAAGCTATAAAAATCCATGCAGTTTTCTAACTTTTTTTTTTTTGCAAAAACATAAACTTTATTTCCTCTAATGTAAAAATTTCCTCTTAATTTTACTTATGATTTCATTTTACCAGAGAAAGACGAAACCACTGTGAACACACATTTACCGCAACACACATTTCTGTAGGGAGGCCAAGAGTCTTGTGATTTCCAGGCCAGTGTCCCTGACTGTCCTTCAAATGACCTAGGATATCCCAAGGGTTAGAAGTGGTGGCCCTTTTACTTGCAGCTTTTATTTTTTCGATTCCTGCAGTTCTCATAGAGCCCCCAAATAAAAGCAAATACAGAGAGAAAGCAACGAAACAGCTAACAGGTACAAAATTCCACGGCGAAAATTGGAATCTGTTTGGAAATCAATTTGCACTCATGGCAATAGGTCTGCTAAGTAAAGAAGATGTTAGCTCTGCTTTAAGATCAAGGGTAAAGCTAGCTGCACCTTGCAGTGGTACACTTACTTACATATGAGTTCCCCCTAAGCGCTTGAATTCTGGACATTTCTTCATAAGGGTAAAAATGTCATACTTTCCATTAGGACTATTTGCAGGACAGCGAAATTAACAGCTGTAAAATAGACCATTAAAAAAAAAACTCGGGCAAGACATCCTTGAGTATTTTTAGGAGAAAGAGAACAAGCAGAATCCTGTGCTATTTCTTGTCTCTTGAGAAAAAAAAAATTGTCTTAGCATTTCAGAAGCAGAATGGGAGAATCCTTGGGATTTCAGTTCAAAAATGTTTTTGGAATCTCTTTTTCATGAAGGTTCCATTGTCACCTCCCAATTCCATTTCATTCATTGAAAGAAGAGGAAAAGGAGGAGGAATGAGATACGGCCAGAAGAAACAATAGGAAAAAAGAAAATATTTGAGAAGGCATGAGTGGCAAGTATCACCAACCATTTGTTTGGCTATGGCCAAAAAGTTGGCAAAAGGACAAATCAAATAGGCAGGCTCTGGACTGATATGCAAAACCATATTTTCTTAAGAAAATGAGAATGTTACTCATTTTCTTAAGAAATTTTATGTATACTTTTAATTACCATTGATCTTTTGAAATTTATGAATCAATCCTTTTAAAAAAATAAGGACCAGAATCTTCTGATTCCAATTGTGAGGAAGCATTCTCTTCTGTGATGGCATTTAGAGGTTTTATCAAAGCCCAGCTCACAAGACAGAGAGATCACACAGTTATGTATGAGACAATCAATTAATTCTGCTTCTCATTCTACAGAAATCAGAACATTAATTAATATGGGAGAAATACAAATTTTCCATCAAGAAAGCAATAACATGCAGAAATCATAGAATTATTCTGAAATGGGCCTGGCATTATGGCAAAGTGAGGTAGGTCACACCTCCCAAAATCAGAATCCCATATGGGACCCAGTTCAAGTCTTGGCTGCTCCTCTTCTGATCCAGTTCCCTGCCAATGTTCCCAGGAAAGCAATGGAAGGTAACCCAAGCACTTGGGCCTCTGCCACAGACACCCAAGACCCAGATGAAACTCCTGGCTCCTGGCTTCAGCCTAGCCCAGCTTTTGCACACACTAGGGGAGGAAATCAATGGTTGCAAGACCTCTCAGTGTGCTTCTCACCCTGTCTCTGAATCTTGGCTTTTCAAAAATAATACCTTCAAAAATTATCTTGAATGGAAAGGTTTCCAGTTATCAATCCATCTCAGCATGGTGCTGAAATTGCTATCATGTAATTCAACACGGATGTGATTAATGTTCATGTGTCAGGTCATGAAGTGGGGGAGATCATATAAACTGTGCGTATGTTTCACAAATCTGAGATCATACAGCAAGGGTCTTCATAATCATTTAATTCAACTGAGGAATGTCATTTTCTTCCGAATCAAAAAGGATAAGTACAAAAGCTCCATGTAAAATTATTTCATTAAGTAGATGCTTTCTTCAAAATTCTTTTTGGATCTTAGCAATGTCTCTCATTTAGTGTTGGTAATTCCAGCTTTCATGCTATTTTTATAAAACTCAGATTAATACACTGAATAAAGTTTAAGTCACCAAATGCTTGAACATTCACAGGTGCTCTTCATTGTGATAGTTCTTGGGGATGCTGGTGTACCTGGTCACATGTTTTTGTGCCTCTCCTATGGGGCAGCTGATTTAGTAGGCCAGGGCAATCTTACTCTGCAGATATAAGGCTGATTACAGATCTTGGTATGAATCATGGCGAGCGAAAATCTAGTCTACTTTAATACGGGCTCAGCTCTTTTCATCCAAGGTTATATTGGCAACTCATTCTTTCCTTTTTTATTTAAGTCCATATAACTGAGTTCAAATGCAATCTTCCCAGTGTTAATCCTTACACTGTTTGACACTGAAAACATACACCTTTCCCATTTCCAAAGCTGGCTTCTCACCAACTACACAGGAACTTCAACATGTTCATGCAAAATGGAATTAAGGGTAAATATATTATGATTTAAAAATGGTTGAAATCCATGCAGCATGAGGGGTTTTCAAACCTTACTGCAAGTTAGTATTACAGAAAAATAATTCATGCATTTCAAGGTTTTTGTTTTTGTTTTTTGTTTTTAGCAAAACAACCACTATTCCCACCTAGTTTTTCCATGAATTCCTTAGAGACTAAAGAATCCTGCTCATTGGGTGGGCTTCCCTTTTGCTTACTGTACAACTCCCTTTTGTAAGTAACTTTCCTAGGAGACATGAAACCAGGAGAAACATCATCTCACCTGACTGAAGGTGCTTCATGCAGTTTGATGCTGGCACTACGGTCCCTCCTTACTGGTGCAGGCTCCAAGGTGGGTAGACCTGTTGCAGAGGTGGTAGTTGTCCAAGTTGATGAAACTCGTCTCAACAAGCCAGGGGGCAAACTCCTTCTCAGGCGCTAGGAGAGAGTGTTGATTTTATTAGCAAACATATTTTTATTTCACTAAATTTATGTAATAGTGCAGAAGGAAATGAGGTTTAAAATTATAAGTGAATTGATTAGCTCACACTGGCTGAATATCAGTTACCTAACATCAGGCTGTTCAGTGGTGTGTATAAAGTCTAGTGGACAGGATGACCCTGTGCCACATCAGGGTGACTGAATTCAATTCCCTGCTCTTGTTCCTGGCTCTAGTTCCCTAGTTAAGCACACCCTGAGATGCAGAGGTGACGGCTTAAGTACCTGCTCTCTGGCCACCCCTGAGCGAACTCTGGATTTAGTTCCCAGCTCCTAGCTTTGACTCAGCTCAGTTTTGCCCATTGCATGCATTTGCACATTAAGAACACACATACTTTCTGTATCTCAGAGAAATAAGTAAATACATAGAAATACAAATGCCAGTTTTGATCACTCAGATATCCATTCTCTGGTCCAATGAAGGAATACAGTAAAAATCATATCTGCAGGTCTTGATTTCAAAGTTTATTCAAATCTAGAGCCATATGAATGAGAATTACTTCTAGGATAATTGCATAATTGTATTGATTAAGCAAGACTTACTTACCCACACATACATTTTATATTACTATGAACAATGTTTCTCCTGCTCCCTAAACCAGAAGTCCCTGTTGTTGACACAGATTATCTTGCATCACCTTGTTCTATAGTCTCCAGTCCCAAATGCTATGGATTGGATTTTACTGTCTTGGTGTATGAGTGATAGAAGGTATGTTAAGGAATGTATTTTTTTTATAGAATGTACAATTCTTTAAGTTACTGTGACTCATACAACAAGACATGCAAGAATCATCAACATCACAGTCTCTTAACTGAAGACCTTGCTTGCCAACTTGATGCTCCCTTTCTGTATTACCTCTTCTCTTGCTATAATCTAAGAGAGAAATGAGGCATTATCAAGATTGAGACATGAGTCTGGGGTATTCGCTTTCCAGCCTAAGTGAGGGTATTATCCTAGAGTTTTGCCACCAACAATCACAATGGATAGAATCTTAGCTGACTTTTATTTGGGACTAATGGCTGGCAAATCAACTATGTAGGCACAGTTTACAAAGACACATTCTGTTTTTCTATGCTAGGACAAGCTTTGAAACACACAGCATCCTGAGTGCCACTGTTCCTCTGATACTGGATTCCCTCCAGCATCTCTTGAAGATATGAATCAACTTCTCAGCAGGTAACTCAGGTGCAAGCGAAACACCAGCAAAGACCAAATTTCTTGCCTGAATTCTGTCATTGATCTCATCTCTGTTTTTGGACACACAAAGGAAACCAGTCACTGACTTTCTCCCTGTCTTCAGTGGCATACCATTGTTAGGAATGCCTTTCCTCAAGGAAGCCCTAAGTTTGAAGCAAGCTTCCTAAGTATCTAGGTGAATTCTCTTCATTCAAGAGATACCTCAAGATTGCTGGCTGTAGGGGATAACTATTTCTAACTAAACAAGTATGTTGAGTGCACCTAGATGTCTTAGTCATTAACATTACTAATTTTTACTGACCTTAATGTCACATCTTCTATGGAATTCATATCTTAGGCAAGCTGAGCACCCCTTATCTGAAATGCTTCATATTCTAGAAAGATTTTTGTTTTGTTTTGTTTTGCTTCTAAGTATATTTTCACTGAATTTACTACTTCAGTGATCTTATTCTTAAAAATCCTAAAATTTGAACTTTTGGAATGTAAACTCTGAGTTTAATAAGTTTCACATTTCAAGAGAATCTCATATTAGCGAAGTCAAAGTTGTAAGGCAAAAATAAATACAAATCACTGCAGCCATCTTTTGCTTTAAATCATCAACAATTAACTAAAATGGTGGTGAATTCCAAACTTGCCTTATCTGAGAAAGCCTTGAAGGTGTTCTGAAGGACTTCATCCTAAGTAATCCAACAGAAGTCGACATGTTTTAAACAGAATCTACACTAGAATGGAGTGGGAATATTGCCTGACATCTTTAGTGGGTACCTGTCATCACTTAGAACAGAATGTGGCATGTAATAGCATCAAGTGAGACCTTCCCAAAGCTTCAACAAATAAGGGAATACCAAAAAGGACATTTTCCATTTACAAAAAGCTGCCAAGTGTAAGGAGTTTGTTTATGCTTTTATTGATTTCTCTCCCTGTGATCAATACATCATCCCTAGTAACAGGTGTGAAGGCAGATGAGCTTGGATTGCCAGGAAGGAGACAATTACAGAAGCTGAGCTCTTTAAGGGGCCACACAGTCAACACTCACCTTGGCAATAGCCAGCTTGTCTTTCTCGGAGCTCTCTTCGGAGTCAGAACAAGTATAGTTTTCACTGAAGGAAACGGCTGGATTCACTCTGGGCTTGTGAACGGCCTGGAAGGTGAGCTGTGTGCTGAGAAGGTTGCTCACGGCCCTCAACGATGTGCACACATTCGGTGGCAGAGAGGGGTCTGCCAGGAGGTCAGTAATGAGGCCGTGGGCCTCGCCCATCACAGCAATATCCACAGTGATACTGGTTCCTGAAGACTGAGACACAAAACCGAGCCAAAGTCAGGGAAGCCCAGGCCCGACTCTGCGGACACACAGAGGTCCACTGGGTGTGGCCACTGAAACAGAGTGGCCCGCCTGGGGTTTCTGTTGAGTAAAAATCAAATCGTGTCTCATGTCTTTACATTCAATGCACATTGTTTTAATGCTATAACTTAGCAGACGGGTGGACCAAATCTGAAGAGATGAACAATACATACATATTAGTTCCAAAAAGCAAATTCAGAGAACTGGGGGAAAAAAGATTTGTATCAATTTATTCCTTAAAAAGAGTTCAACGTGTACATGAAAGTACTTGAAAAACTTCATGTAGTAATGTAACTAAAAGCTTATTGGCCCAATATAATTTGATATCCATACACAGCTTTTTCATAATATACATTTCATGGTCTATCTGAAATATTTGTATATGATTTAGAAATCTTATTCTGAAAATGATAATATGCTATGAAATTTTAATTTTAATAATGTTTAAATGTTGTACTTGAACCTAGTATGTGGTATTCATTCAACTAATATTACTCAATAATTAAAATTACTCAGTTTATATTCACAATCACAATATATCTCTCTTCATGCAGTTGGGGATTTCAGTGCTAGAGTTCTGTGATACAGCTGTTGAGTTCAGCCCAACTAGTCAGCATCACGGAGCCATTACTCTGGACTGAGAGGACAAATGAGACTTTGAGCAAACAGAAAGGCTGTTTATGCTATTGGCCAGAGAGAATACAAGGCAAGACTCAGGGAGGTCAGGGGCAATGCCGCCTAAAGGCAAGTGCCAATGATGGTCAACACTGGAGTGCTGTCAGGGTGCGATGTACTACACACCCACGTCCACTCCAAGTCAGTGACCAGGTGTGCAGGTTCTGGATCTATGTCCTGACTCCTGACAAGGACACTTCCAATGGGCATGGACTTTGGCAAGCTAGTAAACACTACATGCCATGACTTTTGCATTAACTCATGAAGTAATTACAGGCAACAATATATGCAGGGCTGTCATTGTGGCACAGCACATTAAAATACTGCCTGTGATTCCTGTCGGTTTAAGTCCTGGCTGCTCCACTTCCAATCCAGCTGTTTGTCAATATATCTGAAAAAGCAGCTGGAAATGTTTCAGATAGTTGGGTCTCTGCCACACACTGGGAGACATGGGTAAAGCTCCGGGTTTGGTTTGGCAGAGCCATGACTGCTGTGGTGATAGGCAGAAGAAACCAATGAATGTAGCATTCTCTTTTAGTTTCTCCTGTCTCCATCAATCTGCCTTTCAAATCAGTGAGTAAGTCATTCTTAAAGAAATTATAATACATAAACTATACACACATACATCTATATGTATAAAACCGTTAATACTTTACTGGCAATCATAAATCTTCAATTATGGTAAATATACATGTAATAACCCTGTGGCTTTTTCCTTTTTATTTTTTTATCTGTAATAGAGAAAGGCTTTCCTTCTCCTGCCTGGTTCAGTCCCAATGGTTGGACTAGTCTGGGGCCAGGAGTGTGGCACTTATTCCGGGTCTCACATACTTGTAGCACAGAAACATGTACCTGGGCCGCCACCTGCTGCCTTCAGGAATGTGGAATCAGAGCTGAACTGGAACTCAGTGAGAGAATCCAATTTGGGATACAGGAGTCCCAAACAACTTCTCAACCACTGTGCCAAGTGTCTACACCTCTCAAGTTTTTTCAGTAAGATGTTTATCAGAAGAGTTGAGAATTTGGCATTAAGGTTAAGACACCACTTGGGAGGTGCATACATCCTATCAGAATAACTAGTTCCAGCTTTATTTACTTCACTTCTATCCAGCTTCCTGCTAACGCATCACTGGGCAGGGGACAGGTGTTGATAGAAACACATGCGCCCCAGACACGACCTGGAAGATCCGGATTGAGCTCTGAGCTAGTGGCTTCAGCCCTGACCTTTACTCTGCTGTGGGTTTGGGGGAGTGAAACACCGAATAGCAGCACACTCTTTCTCTGTGCATCTTTATCTGTCTCTCCTCTCTGCTCATCTGTTCTTCAAAATAAATAAATAAATAAATAAAACTCAAAAAGCTAAGCCCCTGGTGTGGTGCCGGCATCCTATGTGGCCACTGGTATGAGCCCTGGCAGCTCCACTTCTGATGCTGCTCCCTCCTCATGACCTTGGAAGTCAGTGGAGGATCGTCAAAGTCCTTGGGTTCTTAAACACACATGGAAGTATCAGAGGTGGATCCTGGCTTCCAGCTTGCAACTGTCCCAGCTCCAGCCTTTGTGGTCACATGGGGAGTAGGTCAATGAATGAAAGCTCTCTCTCTCTCTCCATTTCTCGGCTTTCTCTCTCCTTTCTGTAAATCTGCCTTACAAATAAAAATAAATCTTAAAAAAATTCTTAGTACATGTAAGCCTTTAAGTTTAATGTCCGTTAAACACCAAAATTGGCATTTTAAAATTATTGGTGAAAAGATATCTCTATAATTCTCTAATTTCTTAATGATCTTTTTAAACAATCTGCTGTATTTTACATAACAAATGTATTTACTGCATACTCAGAAAAAAAGAAATTAGCAACTCCTGTATATGAGCAGTGTTAGTGTAACATGCAATTGCGATAAGAAACATATCATGTATTTCAATGTTACCATCCTATAGATTTTGTGAAAGCAAAGGAAGTGAAAACAACAGCAACGTTAAGCCAACAAGATGCAAATTATCCCTCTGGGAACTGGCAAAGAATCGAAAGTGAATCCTTTCACCAACGGGAAGAAACCTCCCTATGACATCCGATCCTTGCTTTATTGGTTTTCTGAATCAAAAATGCAGTTGCGTAACAGTCAGCAATTACATCACACCTAAGAAGGTATCATCATTGTTTGGCTCTGACATGGAAAGGTTTCAGTGAGCCATGAAATCAAAACCCCAAATGCAGATTTATTTACCATCTGCTTGCCAAGTGGAACCACACAGTAGATACCAGAGGGCAGAAAGAGAGGCTGCTGCAATGGACTTGTGCCAGTTTTAACCACATAGGCATGTCCTGACACACCTTCTTAGGGATTTCAGGGGTTTTGGTTGTTAGTAGAGTTGATGTTGTTGGTAAGATTTATGTGTTTGTTTATTTGAAAGGTAGAGCAACAGGAAGAGGAAGAGACAAAATGATCTTCCATCTGCTAGTACACTCTGCGAATGACTGCAACAGCCTGGAGCCCAGAACCCCTTTCAAGTCTTCTATGTGGGTGGCAGGGGCCTAAGAAGTTGGGACAACCTCCACAGCCTTTCCTGGTATATTAGCAGGGAATTGGGTAAGAAGTAGAGCAAGCAGGATGTCAACCAGTACTCTGAAATGGGATGCCAGCATTGCAGGCAGAGTCTTAACTTGCCATATCACCATATCAGCTTGTGTTGCCAGAGTTTTAAAAATCACATACAAAACAGGGAAAAAGTTAGTGACTCACACAAAGGGTATTTTTATGCCTACTTACGTAAAAACATTAGATTTCTAAGCATACTAATAACACTGAAATCTTATACAGTGATATTGAAAATTGAAGATTAAATTTACATGAAAGCAGCTTTTAAGAAAAGCCTTAAATAGCTTTAAAATCATCTCCGAGTGCAGGAATGAGCTGTAACAAGCAAAAAACTACAGTTGTCTCGCTATGGTGCCGACCATCAAACAAATCTTTTCCTTTAATAAAAGTTCCTGACAATATAAAACATTTGACTTCACAGGCCTCTGCTTGTAACAGAAATATTTATATTTAACATTTAAGAAAATGTAAGTATGGCTCCCCAGACACTATTTAAATGACAACCAAATAAGGCTTGCAACCTTTAAATAGAAAATCTGGAATTTAAGTCAGATAAACAACGGAGGAAAGTGCACTTTTATAAATCACACCAAAAATAACTAATTCTCTTGGTTTCCATGCACCTATTTTTTTAAGCATCTCTCTCTTCCACCATCTGATCTGCTCATCTTCCAAGGATGGATGTGAAATGCAGTGAGGCCCCGACACACACAGAGAGCTCCCATTTGCTGAGCTACTCCCCAAAGCCCACAGCATCTAGGGCATAACTCAGGTAATCCTGAACTCCACCCAGGATTCCCATATTCGTGGCAGTGACCCAGCTATGTGAGCCACCAGTACTGCCTCCCAGAGAGTGCATAGACATTCTGATTTGGGTTGGCAGCACCTTGAACTCTGTGGCAAACAACAGACCACAGCCTTGTTTTGGGATGATCTAGATTGTCCAGGGTTCTAGATAAGAGATGAGAAAGACATATATTCACCATTAAACATAAGTACTAGATTAGATATGATCCACCAGTTTGATTACAGAAAACCTGCTTTTGCACTGATGACTTTGGTGCTAGGACACTGAAATTGGAGTACTTTCCTCCCTGGAAACGGAGAAGGAGGGATGGAAGCAGAGAGCAGAGAAAGCCTCAAATGTTTGCAATTTCTCTCAGCTTGAGAAACAGTCAGGCAGTTAGCGACTCCATCCAGGTCTCTCATATGGGTTACAGAAACCTGAGCACTTGGAACATCACTGATTCCCAGAATCTATATTCAGAGGAAACTGGAGCTTGCAGCCAGAGCGCAGGACCCATTCTCAAAACACTTCTGGGGGGTCTCAATCATGAGATCTACTTGCCAAGCATCATTTTTAAAAAAGACTTATTTATTTTTCATTACAAAGTCAGATCTACAGAGAGGAGGAGAGACAGAGAGGAAGATCTTCCATTCAATGATTCACTCCCCAAGTGACTGCAAGGGCCGGTGCTGTGCCAATCTGAAGCCGGGAACCAGGAAACTCTTCCGGGTCTCCCACGCGGATGCAGTGTCCCAAAGCCTTGGGCCATCCTCAACTGCTTTCCCAGGCCACAAGCAGGGAGCTGGATGGGAAGTGGAACTGCCGGGATTAGAACCGGCGCCCATATAGGATCCCAGCGCGTTTAAGGTGAGGACTTTAGCTGCTAGGCCACAGCG